AGCTATTATAAAACCGCTGTTGAAGAAACCGTCATTGGACCCCACTAAATTTGACAACTTTCGGCCTGTTTCCAATCTCCCCTTTTTGGGCAAAGTCATGGAAAGCGTGGTGGCCTCACAACTCCGGGTATTCTTGAGAGACACGGATATTCTGGATCCGGCACAGTCTGGTTTCAGACCGGGACATGGTACCGAGATGGTCTTGGTCGCCTTAGTGGATGATCTGCGCCGGGAGCTAGACAGGGGGAGTGTGTCCCTGTTGGTGCTCCTGGACCTCTCAGCGGCCTTCGATACCGTCGACCACGGTATCCTTCTGGGGCGCCTTGCGGAAATGGGTCTTGGGGGCACCGCTCTGCGGTGGCTCCAGTCATTTCTGGAGGGTCGTACCCAGAAGGTGTTATTGGGGGACTGCTGTTCAACACCACAGCCTTTGACCTGTGGGGTTCCACAGGGTTCTATACTGTCCCCCATGCTGTTTAATATCTACATGAAGCCGCTGGGTGAGATCATCCGGAGTTTCGGGGTGCGGTGTCATCTGTACGCAGATGATGTCCAACTCTGTCACTCCTTTCCACCTGCTACTAAGGAGGCTGTCGAGGTCCTGAACCGGTGCCTGGCCGCTGTAATGGTCTGGATGAGGGCGAACAAACTGAAATTAAATCCAGACAAGACAGAGGTCCTCCTGGTCAGTCGCAAGGCCGAACAGGGTATAGGGTTACAGCCTGTGCTGGACGGGGTCGCACTCCCCTTGAAGGCGCAGGTTCGCAGCTTGGGTGTGACCCTGGATTCATCTTTGAGCCTGGATCCCCAGGTTTCAGGGGTGACCAGGGGAGCATTTGCACAGCTTCGGCTCGTGCGCCAGCTGCGCCCGTATCTTGGGAAGTCTGACTTGGCCACGGTGGTACACGCTCTGGTCACATCCCGCCTTGACTACTGCAACGCTCTCTACGTGGGGCTGCCCTTGAAGACGGCCCGGAAGCTTCAGCTAGTCCAGCGCGCGGCAGCCATGTTACTAACGGGAGCGGGACGCAGGGAGCACACAACGCCCTTGTTGTCCCAGCTCCACTGGCTGCCGATCTGCTACCGGGCCCAATTTAAGGTGCTGGTGTTATCCTACAAAGCCCTAAACGGTTCCGGCCCAAAATACCTTTCGGACCGCATCTCGGCCTATGAGCCCACGAGGGCCTTGAGATCATCTGGGGAGGCCCTTCTCTCGATCCCGCCCGCCTCACAGGCACGTCTGGCGGGGACGAGAGAGAGGGCCTTCTCAGTGGTGGCCCCCCGGCTGTGGAACACCCTCCCTGTTGACATCAGACAGGCGCCCTCCCTCATGGCTTTTCGTAAGAGCCTAAAAACCTGGCTATTCGACAAGGCATTTAATTGAGACCCACACGAATTTGGTTGTGATATTTGGAACGGACTATGGATTATGAGACTGGCTATGACTCTATGTTGTGATGGCGCGGATCTATTAGTGTAATTTAGATTAATGTGTAATTCGATTGTTGTTATATTGTATGTTTTGTAGATTGTTTTTTACATGTTGTACACCGCCGCGAGTCGCCCCAGGGCTGAGAGCGGCGGTCAACAAATGAAGTAAATAAATAAATACATACATACATACTTACACAAACAGAGAGAGAAGGAGAGCAGGAAGCATTCTTGAGTATATGTACTTATGTGGAACAAGAGTAGTCTGTTGGGTGTAATTTGTTGAACATTGGTATGCTACATTTGTCTAATAGTGGTATCTGCCCTACAATTTGTGAGCTTTAAAACTTTATTTTTTACCCCAACTCCATCTTCTCAAAGGGACTCGAGGTGGTTTACATATGGCACAATGTGCCTAAAACAACACATAACATAAACACATAGTAGAATACAAAGTAAAACCAATAGCATATAATACAATAATTTAAACTCAAAACAGCATCCAATAACCTATGGTGAGAACTGTCATAAAACATGGTCAATTGTAAACAAGAACAAGGGAATGGGATAGTGCAAGTTGTAGCTAATAAACAAGGGCATGGGACGAAAGTGCAGCGCTGTGTCATTAATTGTGGACCATTGGGGCTAGACATTCTCAAAGACTTGTAAAAACATCCAAGTCTTCAATTTCCTCTGGAAGGAGGACAGTGTGAGGTCTGCCTAATCTTCTTGGGGAGGGGTAATTCCAAAGCCAGAGGGCCACCATCAAGAAGGTCCTCTCTTTTGTCCCCACCAACTGCGCTTGTGATGGTGGCAGGACCACGAGGAGGACTTCCACGGAAGATGTTAATGCTCGCGCAGGTGATGTGGTCACGAAGATAGGCAGGGCCCGAACTGTTTAGAGCTTTGTAGGTGATAACCTGCACTTTGAATTGGGACCAGAAACTTATCAGCAACCACTAGGGCTGTTTTAATAGGGGCGTCATCCGCTCCCTATAATTACCTCCTGTTAGCAACCTGGCTGCCGACCTTTGCACCAGTTGCAGTTTCCAGGCCGTCTTCAAAGGCAGCCCCACATAGAGTGCACTGCAGTAATCCAACCTGGATATAACTAAGATGTGGACCACTGTGGCCAAATCAGGCTTCTTGAGGTACAGTCACAGCTGGCAGCCTTGTGCAAGAATATCATAAGGAATCGGTCAAAAGCTTTTTAAATCTCTGATCCTGGAAATCTCTGATCCTGTAACTATTTTGACACCCTTAATTCACACAGCTTGGTTTATTTTCTCTTTACAGTTGTCTGCAGTGGTACTATTAATATTAATGTGAAAGAAATTCTCATTCATCATGATTCCTCTTCTTTTCTAATATTTTTGAACATGGGATCCCACACAGTTATTTCCTTAACATTATAATTGGTTATTCTTGAAAAGTATAAAGTACATAGGAGAGCCAGCATGGTGTGATGGCTTCAGTGATGGACTTCATCATTGGATACTGGATTCAAATCCCTGCTTAGCCATGGAGACCCAATGGATGACCTTGGGCAAGTCATAAATTCTCAGTCTCAGAGAAATGCAAATGCAATCCCCTTCAACAAATCTTGTCAAGAAAACCTCAACAGCATCAACGAAGTACATATTTGACTATAATTGTATTTTACTTCCCTCTGTATAATGAATTCCCAAAATAAGTGATGACTTCTATCTAGTGTTTCCCCATTTCTGCTTCATAGGTCAGCTCTTCCCAGTTGATGAGAATCAGGTACAAGACCTTCAGTCCATTGTGGCTTTTTCCTTCTAGATGAGGAGTTCACTGGACTCTTCATCTAGGAGAAGATATTATTGCCAGAATTTGACTTCAACTGATATCACAGTTGTTGATATCTCCCATTATTGCTGTATTTTTATGAGTATTTAGTAATTTGTTCTAAGAAAGCATAATCCAGGTCTTCGGTCTGTCTTCAAGATCTCTAGCAAATCCCCACAGTGATATCACTGTTATTTTCTTTCCAAATGCTTTCAGCATGCTCTTTGTGCTCCAATTCATTTATCTCTTCATAGGTGGACACATTATTTAAATAAAATTCTGTTCCTTACTTTCTGTTCAAAGAGGTTAAATCCCTTAGTTACTACAGTGCAGCCATGAGTCCCATCCCACAACTTTCAGTAGTTCCTATTAAATAATATGTTTTCATTCAAATCCTTATAATCTCTCCATTAGTGCAGAGACTTCTGAAATCATAAGCCAATCCCCCCAGCTGCTTCCTTACTTTTCCATTTTATTGGTCAATTCTGGTATCACATCAATTTCCTTTGTATCATTAACACTATTACCACATTATTTGATGTCTTGCTTCTCCTGTCTGTCCTCTGGAATACTGTCTTTTTCCTTCACAGAGTTCCATAATATGTAATATGAAAATTCCCTTGAATTATCTTGAGAAGGTGTTTTTCCAATCCTCTGATCATCTTTGAAAAATCTTTAAAAAACAATAAGCCTTCAGTTTGTGAAATCTTGACTGGAGAATCTTGTCAGTAGTGTGATGGATTTGTTTAGTTAGCAACTTGGATTATTTAAATGTTGCTTTTGGACATGTGTTTATGAAGTTTTCTGTCAATTATTAGTCGAGGTCTAAATTTAGTAAAAAGCAAAATAATCACATGATTCTTGTTTGGTTTTTAGTTTGCCTGAAAAGCTCTGAATGAAAAATATAGGCTTTACATGAAAAAAAAAAACCTTCATCCATGTGAGCTGATATACTTCTCTTTAATCCATAAACTGGGAAGGAATATCAAACCAACACTTTTAAAATGCTGATATGTGTACACATGTACATAAACCAGACAAGAGTGATTGTTAAAGAAGTGGTCGAAAGATAGTTGCTTGTACTGACTGCATGCAGTACTGTACTAGGTAGATTTCTTAAACGTTTTATGCATCTTCTCATGGATAGCGTTTGAACACTTTTTATGCACAACACCAGCCTAGTTGAGTTTATTTGCGCTTCATTTGTATCCATCTCTAACATGAGAACAGCCCTGTATTAGCAGAAGAAACCACATGTGGAGGCTCATATTTAGGTCTAATCCTATAATTTTAATCTGATTGGGATAATAATAAGAAATCCTCTGGATCTGAGTTTGGAACAAGAGCCTCACCTTATTACACTAAGAAGGGTCTCTGCTAACCTAAATCCTATAAAAGTAAAATTTGCATGACTGTTTCTGTATAATGGCCATCCATAAACATGTATGGATGGCCATACATACATCCATAAACTAATAGTTTATAGACATTGTATTATTAATATATTAATATCTACTACTACTAAAACCTATGTGATATGTAGTGCATGATGCATTGAAAGGTAGTTTAACATCTGATGATGAGCAATTTGTGAGTGTCATTCCAGACAAAGCATTTAATTTAAAAGTCAAAATGTTTGAAGGCACCTCTATATGTAAGGGAAACAGGCCACACACAGGAAAGTACCTGCATATCTGCCAGTAAAGCTTTATTTTATATTCTCAGAATAACCAGAACAGCCTCTCTTGTGTCTTATCCAGATTGCAGCAGCTTGACAAGCATTGCCAGACCACTGCCCAACAGTTGGTGGAGCTGCTCAACAAGCAGAACGACCTCTATAAGGAAAGGCAGGCACTTAAAGAAGAGGTGGACTTCCTGCGGACTCAGGTAGTGCTCAAAACAAGGCTTAAAATTAAGGGAGACCAGAGAATAATCTTTGGCTATCAATGACAAATGAGATCGTTGGTATGAACTCATATTTCTTACCTCTAATAAGTTCACGTTTTTCAAGCCTTTTCAAGTCCCTATGTTCTCAAAGCCACCCATAATTAGTTTTGAAAATCCAGCTCATGTAGCTGGCATCTGACTGAAAGGTATAGTCCATTTATCCTGTATTTGTGGGATTGGTTGAGATGATTCAGTAGTATCAAACATACCATATGTGTCCAGATGCAAGCCCTGTATTGCTCGTCATAGGCATCCAGGTTTACAGCTGGAATTCAAAATAGTTCTGTAGATCCAATTTCAGTCTTAATGACATAAAATAATATCTAAATAATATCTAAAATGACCAGTTATAGTAAAATAAGCTTACCTGTTTCCCAGAAAATAATCACCCTGAGCTGATTTTCTAAGCAAAAAAAAAAAAAGACCCAAACTTTAAGGGAAATTCATTGAGATGGAAAGGTCAGATCTAATTGTAATTAGCTAACTAGTCAAAGAGGCAGTGGGATGTGCTTAGGTCCAAGAAACCAGCTCTTGACTTGGAATGTACTCCCTGCTTCTGCTTTCTCTTGTTTTGATGGGGTGAAGACTAATGAAATAGAGTATCATGACTTTTCCTAGAGAGGATAGCAAGATTGCCTCTCTGCCAATGTAAATGAAAATCCTCCATATGGAATTGTAAATTCAGAGGAAAGGATGTTCATACACATTTAATGTTTGTCTCGAATGCCAACAGGTGATCTTGTTTAGAGGGGTTTTTTTTTTTGTCTCATGTTCACTTGTTGTAACTAAGGAAGAACAACAGTGGATAATTTTCTTTCAATTTTCATTTATGGAATATTTTAATACAACTGGAGTGTTTGTGTGTGTGACTTCAAGTTACCTGTCTGCTTATGGGTATTTTCTTAGGGAAGGAATGCTCAGGGGTGGTTTTCTCAATTCCCTTTTCTGGAATATAGCCTGCAGCTAACCTCCCCCCCCCCCCCCAGTACTAACCAGAGCAGACCCTATTTACAAGATCAGATGAGATCTGATGCCTTTACGGTCCAATATCTTGTACCAGGAGTTTCACCCACTACTCCCATTCAAAAGTCTAGTTGGAAGTGTTCTGTTCTCTGGTACTGTATAAGTTATGAGGCACTCAGGGAGGCTAATCCCACCACTTACTGTCTTTTTTTCTACAATTAGATAACATCCTAGGGATAGTGACAGTCAATCCTAACATGATCAGGAACTCTTCTCCTCAAGTGTTTGTTTTGCATGTATTATACTTCTACAAACTTAAGCAATTGCCATTGCATTTCTCAGTAGCCCAGTTTTTGGTTCCTTTTATGTCAGTGCTTGCCATGTATTCACTGTTAAGAGAGGCTGCATAATCAGAATCTCCCAGCTGTTACTTGCTTAACTAAAGTTATAAAATATAGTTGTGGGTTTTTTTTTAAAAAAAGAGAAAGAAATGCAGGGTACTTTTTCTACTAGTCACTTTTAGCATATAAAAACAAATTCCTATATTGATGCAGATATCCCAACCCTTATACAGGGTGGGGTATAAAGATCTCCCATATTTCCAAGGGGCACTATATGGACTTTAATAGGAGTACAGAGGTGGAGTAAGTTTCATTTGGTAGGTTAGGCTCTGCCATTTTCAGTAGTCATCATGCAAATGACTACTGAAAATGGACCAGTGAAGATTGGGGCTTTGTTGTTCAAGCATATTAGGAGAACAACCATTCCATAATAAATACACAGAGAGCGTGTTCCGAACACGCTTCACGCTTGGTTGAAATGCATCAGTACCAGATAGGAAAACCATTTTGCTGTGGATTTCTAATCTTCGGGCAACTTAGATCCACACTGAAAATAAAATCACCTGGCAGACCTAGGACCATTATCAGAACACCAAGAAATGTGGAAGCAGTAAGAGCATCCACTCAGCAATCGCCACGGCATTCCACTCAAAAGCAGGCTATGATACTGGGGATATCTAGTTGAAGTTTGAGGCTTCTGCATGCTGATTTAAAACTGCATCTGTACAAACTAATTTGTCTGATATGATTTTTAAAACCCATTAAGACTACTGTTTTTATGTACTTTTCAGAAATATGTACCATTTATTCTAAATGCCAGTAGCTTTGTTTCTCTCTCTCTCTCTCTCTCTCTATATATATATATATATATATGTACTTTCGAAATGTGGGGAATCTTCATGCTCCACCCTGTATAATCTAGAGGAAAATAGTAACACTAAATATATTCTGGAACAAACGTGCAGGAAAAGAGGCAGAGGTGCCAGCAAACAGAGCCTCTGTTTTTATGGAATAAAGCAGGACCACGAAAGACCTTTCTAGCCTCTCGGGGAAAATTATCGGCCACCCCAGTCCAAGCAGAAGTCTTTGACAACTAATTGTAGCATCACATCATTAACAACCAATAAACATTTGGGGGAGTAATGTAGCCACAGGAAACAAAGAGAAGAAACATCTAAGTACATGTGGCTCCTGCAAGTGACAAGCTGTCTTTTGTTTTTATCTTTCAGTTACCCCATGAATCTCAGTTAGTACACTGAACTGATGAAGCTTAACTTCGAAATGGCCTTCATTCATTGAAAATGCTGGCAGGTTATATTCGTTATCTTGTTTACCTTGTCAACCTGAAGTTTTTAAATAATTAAACTTTGGCAGGCAAGCATGTCTTCCCAAAAGGAAATAAACGATACTCAGTTTTCAGATTTTGTGAAGTGCTTAGGAAAAGTCTTCAGGCAGTCGGGTCCTTTTTCCTTTTGTTCCTTCAATAATACATTTCTGGTGTGATTTCTGGGAAATTGCTCACACTTTCAAATAAGTGACACTATGCACCTTTCTTCCCTTTGGATGAGATCTTCAGGCATACAAAGGAAATGCAAGTCACCTTCACTTCCATCACTGTTTTTGGTACTTTCTGAAGTTACCTTGAATTAAAATAATGGATATGTTTGAACTGCTACAATATTATTATTCCACCAATGTACTTTTATAATTTCCAGCATTTTTTTGTTTTGTCTTCATAAATGCCAAGAGCTAATAATTTCTACCTGCAAGAAAAGATACAGATGTAACTTATTGGGTCAGAAATTTGCAATGCTGTAGAACATCTTCTTTAATAATATCCCACATTGCTCTGTCTTTGATGTTAAGGGGAGCAAATGTGAAACCTCCCTACTCTGAACATTGTGGCTATGAAGTAATATAGCAACATGAGGAATAAAGTTTGGGAAAGTGAAGAGGCAGTCAGAAAGGTTTAGGGACTTGTAGTGTGCTGGAAGAAACAGATTATGTTCTGGGATTTTCCAGTTTATTGGGAAATAGTTCAGCCAACTAATCCCAACACTGAATTAATTAAAGATAATTTGTGGGCCACACATGTTTTTTTCTCTCTGCTGAACATTGGCACTGGTGAGTGGATTATGGGATGTAGGGAAGAAAGTAAGGGAAATTTAGTACCCTTAGGCATCATTATTTTGCTGTATCAAGTTAAAACCCTCTCCTTCTCCACTTTGAGTGTAAAGAAAACCACAATGTAAAGAAACGCATCTATTATATCATATTTAGTAGTACTTCTATAACGAACAAACATCTATAGATGTTTCTGTTTCAAGTACTAGAATCACATACTATTGGAGCCCTTCATATTGCACATTTTATTACATCTGTCCTACCAATCACACACATCATGATCATGATAAAGACTCATCAAGAATGCTGCCTCAATTATTACTTCACTAGTTTGGTACCTGGCAATGCCTTTCTTGCGAGATCACAATGAACAGTGTGGAGATGAGGGCAGCAAATGAAGGAAGAAGTGCATAGCTTTCTTTGCCTTTATTTCTTCCGCTTCACATTCTTAAACAAAGATGTTGCTGTTTGCTTATTTTTCTTGAGTTTACCATCAAGAATCAATTGTGATTCGTGGGGAATGACAACTTTTGTCCTGCAGGGAGTTGAAAGCAGGCATAAGCATGTGCCAATGGTAATGCCTAACTTCTTTTTGCTACGAGGCACTTATGCTTCATAGGTACTTTGAGCAGATATACTATTTTCAATTTATTTGTTGTTATTTGCCATCAAAATAACTTCAATGTATCACAATCCTATCTATGAGAGATGTCCAAGAGCTCCTGCAATCAACTGCCCTGCTCAGATCTGACAAACTCAACACAGTGACCTTCTTGATTGAATCGATCTATCTGTAGAGCAGTCTCCTTCTTTTCTGCCTTCCACTGTACAAAGCATTTTCTAATGAGTCATGTTGTGTCATGACAAGTACAAATTACAAGAGCCTTAGTTTAATCATCTTGGCTTCTAGTGCGAGTTCTGGCTTGATTTCCTCTAAGAATCTTTTCCTTGTCTTTTTGTGTTGTTCATTCGTTCAGTCGTCTCCGACTCTTCGTGACCTCATGGACCAGCCCACGCCAGAGCTCCCTGTCGGCCGTTACCACCCCCAGCTCCCTCAAGGTCAGTCCAGTCACTTCAAGGATGCCATCCATCCATCTTGCCGTTGGTCGGCCCCTCTTCCTTTTGCCTTCCCATTTTCCCCAGCATAATTGTCTTCTCTAAGGCATCTGTCTTCGCATGATGTGGCCAAAGTACTTCAACTTTGTCTCTAGTATCCTTCCCTCCAGTGAGCAGTCGGGCTTTATTTCCTGGAGATGGACTGGTTGGATCTTCTCGCAGTCCAAGGCACTCTCAGAACTTTCCTCCAACACCACAGTTCAAAAGCATCGATCTTCCTTCGCTCAGCCTTCCCTAAGGTCCAGCTCTCACATCCGTAGGTTACTACAGGGAATACCATGGCTTTGACTAGGCGGATCTTTGTTGTCATTCTGATGTCTCTACTCTTTACTATTTTATCGAGATTGGACTTGTCTTTTTAGTAGTTCACAATATCTGTAATTCTTTCTTCTCCAGCATTGTGTTTCAAATGAGTTGATTTTCTTCCTATTAGTTTTCTTCACCATCCAGATTTCACAGATCCTATAGCCTGGATGACTCAAGACTTTGGTATTAAAATATATATTTTTTTACACGGGAGTATCTCTCGTTTCTTCATTGCTGCCCTTCCAAATATTCTTCTGATTTCTTGGCTACACTTTCCATTTTGTTTAATGGTTACTCACTTTAACATTATGTGAATCATTTGTGACCATTATTTTTGCCTTAATATTCAACCTGCTTTTGTACCTTCTTCCTTAACTTTCATCAATACTCATTCCAAGTCTTGGCCATTTTTGGAAGTAATTTGATAGAACCTTGATATGTTAAAATGGTGGTGATTCTTCCACAAAATTTCCATTAATTTACTCATAGTTAAAATGCCAGAAGCAGTCCTCAGACCTACATGCTACTGACCATGTTTCTTCATTCTCTCACTCTTGTTGTTTGTATGCTCCTGCTTTCTTGAATCCACCTTCCGGCATTCCCACTTCTGTTTGGATTCTGTCCGGTTCACATTAACTCTTCACTGATTTAATTTATTACCAATTAGAAATAAACCAGAACTTGAAACTAGTTGCTACCCTTGATGCAAATTTCTAATACATATATTAATTTCTAATTTTCTAATACATATTTTAATACATTTCTAATGTATTAAAATATGTATTATTTCTAATACATATATTTCTAATACATATATTTTCTAATACATATATTAAGTATGTATGGGATCCAAGACTCTTTTGTTTTGTTGTTGTCTTTGCTGCACAACTACCCTTTTGCAATGAAATCAGAAGCCAGCCAGGGTTGTTGATACAGACAAAATGTTAACTGTAGGCATGGCATAAAGCAGTGGTTCTCAACATGGGGTCCCCAGACGTTTTTGTCCAAAACTCCCAGTAATCCCAGCCAGTTTACCAGCTGTTATGATTTCTGGGAGTTGAAGGCTGAAAACATCTGGGGACCCCAGGCTGAGAACCACTGACATAAAGGATGAAGTGATATAAAGTGGGAGAAAGGAACTGTTTGTAAGTTTAAGAAGAGGGAGAGAATGAAAGCCGGAGGTATAAACCCAAATTTTAAAGTATGATTAAGAGATTGGAAAGCATATGTCTGAACTAAATCTGAGAGGCAAATAAACAGAATGGTTCCTGACTGATATGATAGAGCCACTTTGGAGTAAAGAGGTTGTTATTTCAACATCCTACCATGTGCCAACACTTACCTTTGGGGGGTGGGGGTGGGGGATAACACTGCTTGAGAAATGTCTTCTATAGTATGTGTTCTCTTATTACTAATACAGATATGAATGCTATGTATTCAGTATAAAACTCCTTAATCTTCAATGCCTTGAGGATGTTTTCGTAACTAAAAAGTGCAAATAATATATTTGAATACTGATTATTATTATCATGCCAAATAATTTCATTCCATCCTTAAAATATGTAATAAATATTTATTAAATACAGGTTTAAAATGTTTCTTACTGTTATCCACCCTAAATTTTCAGCAATAGGGTGGGTTTAAAAAACAACAACCCAAATAAATAAATAAAGGTGTACATGCTTGACAGAAATAAACAGAAGAGGTGCAACACTATGTCATTTTACCCAGAAAAACAAAATGGATAAAGCAAACAGCTGTGCAACCAGTTCTCCAGAGTATTAACTGAAAATACTGAACTTTAATGTATGCTTTATAATCAGAAGAACTATCCACTATCCTTGAATTCAGCCATCAAAATGCCTTGCTAATATTAATAAATACAGACTGAGTTGAGAACAGTATTGATCACATGTAGCTAAGGCACAAACCAGACCAAGTGTAAGGTGTGGAGTCACATTGATTTCAATAGGAAGTTAAGCACATGCATAACTGTCTAACCAACAATAATCTCTTCCCAGTTCTCCCTGATTATTTTTCTGATGTTCTGACATTATCAACACAAATGGCAGATGTAGATGCTTCTGTGAAAACCTCCAAGCTGTTACTTTCCCCTCTAGTTGCCAAATCCACAGCCTTTGATGACTGCCTTTCCTGTGGTCGTTGAAAGCATTCTGCTGTTAGATTTCCAGTGTTTCTTTTGCCACATTGCTAAAGTTCTTTCTTTCCCAATTATCCACATTGAAGTTTAGTTCGCTCACCTACAATTACGGATTGAAAAAACATGGCTCAAGTGTTATGAATTGCCTCTATAGATTAATTTCTGTAAGTTGAATTTTCTCATCACCTGATGTCTAGTGATGCATGTCAAATTAGACCCATCCTCACACACAACTGAGACTAAGAAAGTAATGAGACCAAATAATTTACATGAATATGTGTATCAACCACAAGACTGATACCTATTTACAGATTTGTTCCTTCTGATTTTGGCTAATATATACTATTTGCTACTTGTCTTCATTTTTCTATCGTTTGCTCTGTTACCAGAACTCTTTGGTCAGGAATACACAAAACGAGTCACTGGAAATCTAACCACTTTTCTGATTCTTTCAGTAACTATAATTGTCAATAATATTTTCTCTTCCTATGTGGTATGCTAACTGTTTTATTGTTTACAGGCAGAACTTTACAATTTATTTGAGATCTGAAGGCATCTTGGAAATTAAATATCCCACTGTGGTACACAATTGGCAGCCTTTGTTTTTGTGTTGAAGTAATAAAAAACCTCAGAACAGTTTGGCTCCAGATCATCTGAACAAACCCATTGCTTACATGTAGACTTTTCTGGGAAACAAGATCAGTGTTTGAGAACATGTTTCAGACTGAGCAAATGAACATGGAAACATAAAAGCCTATTTGCAAATGCTAAAATTAGTTCCCAACTGAAATTTATCGAACTTGCTCTGTACTTTTTTTGTTGGAAACTAAAGATATGAATAGCTTGATAGACTCTTAAGCCTAAGTGTAATTATTCATCAGGGCAGCCTGCGGAATCAATGGAACTTACATAAATGTTGGCTTACAAATTTTCCACTAGTAAACCTAAATTTGTAACACCTTGATGGCATTATGAATGTGTAACATCCTTTCATCTTGTGGCTGTTCTGTTCTCATTAGGCACTGGAGGTGTTGGTTGTTTTGTGTTTATTGTACCTCCAAAAGGCTAGTTCTCCCTTTCGTTATATGATTTCATTGTTATGTTCTAAGCTACTCTAAGTACTTTTAGTTTAAAAATGGGATTTGAATATATTACTATTTTTGTGACACATCTGGTTTAAGGAATGAAGCTAGGCAGGAGTTCTGTGTTTCATCAGATCCTAAACACAATAACTCCTGTTACCCAGTGTATGCCACCTGGACTTTTTTTGGAAAAAATACAAAATATAATATTGAACAAAAAGCAAAATGTACATAGTGGCACTGGTTTATTCTCGAAGAATTTGTTTATAAACATTTAGAACACTTGAATATTTTATAGTGAGGTACTAATTTTTCTGCTTCCTTTTTAGATGAAATAACTGATGTCATAGCCCTCTAAAACTGAAAGCAATCATGACAAAGACATCAAAGAATCCCTTCTGCAAGAATGACTGAGGTTTTTTTTTTTAATGGCCATTGTGTATCCTATATCAAGGTCAAAATAAGATATTTGTGCTGGCCGTCAAACAATACAGTACAAAGAAATGTAAAAATATTATCTATTTCTCATCACACTTTGGGCAGCAGGACATTTAGAAAAGCTTCCGTGAAACCTGGGTGTGAATGGGGGAAATAAGTTTAAACCACCTATTGTGAGATTAGAGTTCACAGCCAGTAGTATTAAGGTTAAGTCACTTCTGCTGCTGTTTCTTTTTTGAACTTTCAGGTTTTTTATTTGAGGCTATTGCACTGCTGAGCGTTGTCAAAAGGACCAAATTACAAAGATCCAACAGCACACCATTCAGTATGATACTTTGATTTCCATCCAAATGATTTCATGATAACAAATACCATAGAAAATACCTTACTGTGCTTTATAAGCCCGCAATAAATTGAACCTGCAGTAAATATGTGAATGTAGTCTAAGCTGTAAATGTTATGTATTATGTAAATAATAAATAAAATACTATAATGTCTTTATTAAAATGTACAGTGCTCAGATCATACAATTACTGGACAGGAATAGCAAAGGCCCAAAAATGATTTACAAATTTTCTTTTGATGCCCCACTCAGATTATATATTGGGGAGGCTCTTGTATGTGGGACTTCCCTCTCTAAAGAGTGAAACTGTTATCCCACTGCTTAATCTGTTTTATTGTGTGTGAAGTGAATTAAAATATTTTTGTAAAAATGTTGATCTTGGATTAAAAAAACCCCTATTGTTAACAAATTGACACTTTAATTTCACAAGCCATTGGAATGACACCACATATCTTCATATATTTTTAAATACTGGTTTTATCAATTTAATTTTGCAACTTTGACCTTTTTGAAGATGGTCCTATATCTGAAATAAAATTTGTATTTCAGAAGTATATCATTTTCCTGTCAATAATTTCAGTTGGCACACCACATATTGATTTGTTTTTCTGTTATTCACATTGTTTAATACTTTCTCATTCCTCTTTTACGTTCCCACCCAGCAGCTTCTTGCTCATCTAGAATCTTTCATCTCTTAACTTCCTCCATCCTTGTGCCTCATTAATGCCTTACTAAAAGTAAACATGTAATACTCTGGCAATATCCTTTTTTCGCTTTCAAAAACACACCTACTTCCTTAAACCATCTCCGTCTCAAACTTCCAATTTCACCTTCCAATTTAGCAAACGTGTCTTACAAACCTTAAACTCCTGCCTCTTGTTTTGTACTCTGATTTTTCTTAATTCTATTTCCTTGTTTTTTAAATACTACAAGTCTTCTGATAGTGAATAGCTTCCACATAACTAGCACTTCATAAATATTTTAATATGGAGTCTTTAACCCTATCTGAAAAGAGAAATCATCATATAGGATAGCAGCAAATAGTAATTTTTCAAGAAAGACATTTAGATTGACAATGCACATGGCATCATTTATCCATTATCATATGTATGATGTGAGGATGAACACACATTGTCAAAATAAAATCAAGAATTGTTTTTATATGGACTGTGTATTACAATTCATCATTTTCTGAACTGTTCCACAACATTTATATCTGCTGCAATTTGCAATTACAAAGGTATTGCTTTAGTTAACCATTTCCTGTGATAGTTGCTTTTATAAAAAAAATCATAATCTCAAAATGTTTATACACATTTGCACCCTGAAACAAAAGCAACAATAAACACATAAGTAGCAGATTGACATAGTGCTTTATTTAAGCTGTCTGTACGAAGGAAAATAATGTGCATCCCTATCATATATGTGTAAAAATACAAAGGATGTACAGTGTACAAAAACGGTTGTAGTTATTTCACATCCTTGTGGGTCATAAACTTAGGAAATCAACAGTTTTAAGTATGACCAACAGTAATACGGTTCCTTGGATCTGTAGTCCTGTCTGCTTAATGGCCTTAACCATATGAATAGATCTGTCATGGGTCTAATGAAAGAACTAGTAAGGTCAAGAAATCTCACAAACTCTAAAGCTACAGGGAGGTAATGCAATTACCAATTTAGAGTTTTTATTTAAATAAATACTTTACATTTCATGCTTGCCTGTAATGCACTACCAGGAGCAAGATAAGGAAATTCTACTGTAGACAGTACAAACAGTAGCAGCAAAGTGTGTACATTGAGGTGTAATATAGAGACCCTGCAGTTAGTAAGGAAAACCTTACATTTGTACTCTAGGAGAAGCACATGGCCCGTGCAAGAACTGCCAGCTTCAAAAGCAAGCAAAGAAAGTTGGAAAAGATATAAAACAATACTGGAACCGATGCTTTGTAGTTAGCAGAACTGTGTTGGAAGAATAGTTAGGGTTGAAAGCAAAAGCTGTGTGCAAAACTGCCCAAATATAAACAGGAATGACCTTTTTTCCCTTAAGATGGCTGCAGTACAAGAGGGCACACATTATGTCCTGGAAGACAGTACAAGCTGGAGTCAACAAGTCTGAAATGTACAATGTCATTAAAATCTCATTTCAGAGTCTAGCCAAACTCAGAGGAAGCTGTGAGAAAGCAGAGAAAATCAATATCTCTCAGCTTTATTTACACTTCTTAAGATATATTTGGGATATGACTTTGAAATACCTACTAAAGGTCCATTTTTGGATGGATTGAGCTCAAATGTAGTATTGCTTTGTCATCAAAGCAACCATGTTCTATGGGCAAAAATGCAGAATTAAATGCTGCTGACATAACAAATAACAAGCCAAGGTTTTCTACTCATAAAGCTAGTAGCATGAGTTATACAAGGTTACACCCTACATTGCATTATCAAGCTCCCACTAGTATGATGAGACTTTCCTCCCAAATATAGCCTTCCTATTATTATTTTTCTTCAGTGCTTTCCATATCAGGTGCATTATGAGGATGCACAGTGAGCTGCCCTTCTGCTAATTTCACCATTCGAAGCAGTTCTTCCAATGGAAAGAGCCCTTTGGATCCAGTGCATTGTAAGGGGAAAAAAACATCCACTTGTCCACCATATTTCTAGTTACATCATTGGGAAAGTCATAGGGAGGAGACATGGGACACCACTTGTTCTCTCAGTTAACATTGCATACAATTCAGTATCAGTAACAACACAGCGCAATGGGGTTAATTTTAAACATTTTCCCCGTTACTTTTAATTGCCCCTAATATATATATTCTGCACATGACAAAAGTTATTTGTTTCAAATGCTAGAACACCTGAGGATGCATATAATTCTGTGGGGACATTGGTCACTGAAAGAAACAGCCATAAGACTTCTTTGATATCAGCCCCTTTTCTATGGTGATAGTGGGGTGTTGTTCCTATGTGCCAGCAGAAGCACACACATGGCATACATCTCGTCCTCCACATAGTCAATATTATAATAATGTATTGAGAACTAGGTCAAGTGGGGAACTTAAGACCTCTTTGTCTGGAGAACATGTTACAAAGCAAGTCAAGATGAAAGATAGCAGAGGCTACTGCAGAAAATCCTGATGATATTTTAGCCTCCAGTTTGTGCCCAGAACTGACATGTTGTTCTTCATGAGATTTGGGGAAAGTACAATTTCCCTGTGTTGACATATGAAAACAGATTTTAAAGGGGAAGTATATGCTTGTATCAACAAGGAGTAAGAGGCTATGTAATATAGCTATCACAGATATGTTCAACAGAGGTACAAATAGTTGGCAAACCAAACACAATGCCTGCCTGCCAAAATTCATCCACAATTTCCATTCTGAGGTTACAAGGAAAATGTTTTACCTAGGATTCTTGCTATGTTGCATTTAGAAAGAAAGGTATACATTGAAAACACATGGAAAGTCTATACAACATTGCATCGGTTCAGTTCAAAATTATTTGATTCCATGTAAACAGCTCTGATGTTACAATAACATCCCACAGGGGTGAGCAAACAGCATGTCCTGTACTGTTTAGCTGAATGTCATCATTCCACAGAAGAGACTTATAAAATTATTTTGTATCACATCTATGCTACAAAGATCGGCGTTACTGAGTTAGTTTTACTGAGTTACTTTTTTTCACAATGCACAGGTATTTTAGGGCTTTTTGTGAAGTGCTGTCCAAGCCTATTAGAAGGTTGCATTTGTGTCACTGGTGAGCTCAATTCCTTCTGTATCCATGGGTTCCATACTGCTAATTTATTCAACCGCGGATCAAAAATATTCTAACAGTAACACAGGCTGAAGGAGCTGTGTTGCTGACTGAGCATTCACGGACTTTTAGTTCATAATCATAGAATAATAGAGCTGGAAGAGACCAAGTGGGCCATCTAATCCAACCCCCTGCCATGCAGAAAAAGCAAAGTCAGTGCAGGATACTGAAACCAATTTCCCATGGATACCGAGGTCAGACTGTATAACTCCCAAACCACTAATTGATAATGCATTGCCAAGACTATGTCCTTTAAGGATAAGATGTAATCTCAAAGTTGAGCACTTCTTGGAAGTCATCTCCTTCTGCATCTGAAAAAAATTAAAGGTGCCAGGAATAGCTGGAAGTGATATATGCTATCATATGATATAATTTATCATATGAAGACTGAGATTATTATACTTACAAACCAAGTATTTTATGAGAAAAGATAGGAAAGTTCTACTCACTAATTGCAGGGAATAAAAAGCATTGGCTTTGGCCATTAGATTGATGACACACTGGACTCATCTCTATACACAATTCCTTTGCAGCAAGATCTTTGTCTAAGCCTGTGAAGTCTAGGAAAACTGGGCAATAGTGCTTACATGTTATATTTTTTGAACAGCAACATATTTTTGTTATGTATTTATGTATTTAAAATCATGCCTGTCTTCCCATTTGGGATACAAAGTGCTTTCCAATATAATTAAAACAGTTCCAATAACAACTGTTCTCTAAGTTTGGTATTCTCAGTAACGTTATACTTGTAGAAGAAAGGTCTTTCCTATAATAATTAATGACCCAGTTCTTAGTACATTATCATAATGCCCCAGGCTCCAGAAATGCAAACTTGAGGCCACATAAGGCAAACTATCCACCCAGCTACAATGTAGAGAATGAGTCTACATGTGTTCTTTTTCAGAGATTTCTCTATTCTAAAAATATTTGCTTTGTTTTGCTACCCAGCCTTCAAAATTTAGAGTTAGAACTATGATATTTCCAAATCACTATATTAGCAATTCTGAAATAAATAGGTTATAATTACCTATTGTTATCAGGCTTGCCATTACGATGATAGTATTAATAATTTAGAATGCAAAATTATACTATTTTCAAAATGTAAAAGTGGGATTCTACTGAACACCAGATTGATCTTTTGCTTGGTTTTGCACATAATTCATTTTCAGCCTTCTATAAATTGTACTCTAACACAGGATAGAACAGCTTAACATTTGATTATATGTAAAATGATTTTCTAAAGTTCAGAAGTGAGCTGAAACAGCACTACTGTATACTTGCAGTCTAATCTAAGAAATGTTCTAAGTCACAGAAAGGTATACTTGTTCCAACCCAGCAAAGGTGATCCATGTACAGATTCCATGCTTATACAAGAGGGTGTCGCATGGGAGGAAAAACTAGCTGTCGAACATCAGGGTAATTAGTGCATGTTGTCCTAGTTTTGGTTGGCATGGATCTAACAAACAGCAGAAGGGTCTATCTCTGACATCAGTGCAGATCATCTATTTGGAGCGTGGTGATGCCATTGAGTTTTTATCTTGCCCTATCCCAGACTAAGGGGTGAGGAAGATTCACAACTGACTAAATTGCCCACCTGTCCAACAGAGAGATTTTTGCATTAAGAAATTCTGGACGAGAACCACTGTGAATATTGCATATCATGTGGTCCCCTCTGGTATATTGGGACACTCGTCTGTATAGCCACTGATTCACTGATTGCTCCTGACTACTTAAGTGTCACAATTTCTAATGATAAGTGCAGATCTAGTTTTATCCTGTATTCCTTCCACTCAAGTGATGCACACTATTCATGACCTGTTACGGTACAAGTATATGATCAAATCTAATCTACTTTGCTTGTGGAAAGTGTAGGTTTGTCTTAGCTGCCTTAATAAAATGCCTACATATCTCTTGATAACCCCAGAGTGTTGCACTGCCCGCAGTGATTTTCAACCTAGGGTTATCTTTTTCAGCATCAAGAGGCTGAGACATCTGCAGGTAAATATTATTTTCTTTTCAAAAGTCATGTACACAGCAATCATAACACTCAGCTAAATCACAGTTTGTTACAGAGCTGAAAAGCCAAGATACTTCAACAATAATCCCATGGAGTAGCATCCGATGATGTCATTACCACTGACATGCATTGCTTGATATATACTGGCTCATTTTTGAAAATCCCAACTACCAGTACCAAAGGCTGCATTACAAACTGCTTTCCTTCACCTTTCTTTTTTTTTAAAAAAATTCACAAAATAGGACTCAGTGAAATCCTGGTCAATAAATATTCTGAAAAAAATAATTCATTTTACTAATAATGCTATGTCAGTTATGGCCAGGGCTCAAACATCACTTATAAATAGCTATTGTCATTAATCTATTCTGCTGTTTGGAAAACTGTAATAAGGTATTTTTGTAATCACTGTGAACTTCATACTTGGAACCTTTCAATGATGCTACCCTACATTCACCTTGAAGAAAGAGTGCACAAATCCTCTGGATATATGGCTTTGGGATTTTCTCTGGACCATAAGGAAATGTGTCATCTATAGATGCCCAACGCAATGCATATGGTACACTTTCAGCCTTGTTAACATATTCACACGGGAGAAAAAGTGCATTATTTTGTTCAGCTTGTACAGTCCTTCCATACATTACAAAATAAATGGTAAGCCTCTTCTAGGATGTAGCAGCATTTGCAAACATGACACATACAATCGTTGTCACTAAAAAATAAATACTACTAAACTGTAACAAAAATATTCAGTTAAAACACCTGGAGAAAAAAAGCTAATTCACAAACTGAAAATTAAAAAAAGAAAACATGTAAGGCAAACTCCTGTTTACCTTAGTATACAAATTTTGGTGAAAAGCAATTTTGTTGCAAGCCTGACTACATTCTTCAGCCTCCAGAGGTGATGTATATCAAGAAAGAAAAAGAAAGACATGAGCGAGATGGAAATCATAAGACCTTCAAACAACAATTGCTGCTTTTCTGCCTTAATTTCTTGTATTTTAAAGGTCCCATTTTTCATAATTGCACATGAATCTGGAAGTCTAAATGGAAGGCTAGGTGGTCCCAACCTTTTTGCTTCTTGTGTAGTATCCAACAGTAATTAAAAAATTATATATATATATATTTATATATATATATATACTTATATATATATTAACAATTATTAGTCCTCCTGATTTTTTCATCCAGATGTTAATGACAAGTCTGATTCAAGTGATGATATGCCTATCAAAGCTTTGCATATGTACACCACCACCTTCTACGTCTCCAGGTTCGGTTCAGCTCAAACTGATGTGAGAAAACATCACAAATGGTTATTTTTTAAACTAGAATTCTGATTTGTCTTCTAAAAGAAGTGAGGAATACATCCCAGTCCAACATGTCCTTTAGCCTCTGCTCTGAGAAGACAAGAGGATAGCCAGCTGTGCACAAAATGCACCATTAAGAATTTGTCATCTAACATCACAACATTTTTGGATTGCTTCTTACGGTTACTTTCATGCTGAAACACTGGGCAGCAGTATCAGCAGGGGACCTTGGGCCAATATAAAAAGTCATGCAGATAAATCAAAGAGGCTGATTGGTCAGGAAAGGAACTTGTTCAATTTGGAATGATCTCTGAAAGTGCTCTGCTATTCTAAATAATAGCAAGTACTGGTGATGATGTTCAGGAATCATTTTAGTGATAAATCTAATATGACTGTGAAGCAGCAGAACAAAACAAAGAGTTATTCTCGTCCACTTGCAGAATAGGAAAACTGAGGGAAATGTGGTCGTCTTTCATTGTCCATGCAGTCCATGCCATCCTCATCATCTGTAAAATAAAACTGAAAGGTAATCTAAGAAAAAGGTTTTTCCGTCCATTCCAAAAAGTTATTCTAGCATTTAGCATTCACTGAGATCTGCACACATGTTCAATATTTCCATACATACGTTTAAAAAGCAATATTTCAAAATGTTATTTTAATGCTTAAATTTGATGGAATGTTGCATATACATGTAATATTTCCACACACAGTTTTAAAAAGGAAGAAAAAGACCACTGCTACAATGGAACTGTACTTGCAGAACAAAATCTTATTACTTCTTCCAGCATTAAAAGCCACAGAAGGATGAAACACATTCCGTTTCCTATTAGGCTAAACAAATTATGAGATCACATAAGCAATATAAGAGATCATAGGCCAATCCTGAACTACGGCTTTCAGTTTAAAAATAAGGTCACTAAAATGCATAACACAATTGAAATGAAAATGTAATGTGAAAGTATGTTCATTTTAACCCATTTCTTTTACAGATTATGTAAAGATGTACACGAAGTCAGTATTTACTGGATCTATAAAAGGAATGATTAAATTGTTATGTTTAACATGCAGCATAAAGTCCTATTAGAATTGCTCTATAGTATTAATAGGCAACCAATATGAGACCAGGTGCTCTACTACCTTGATAACATGTGTTACATGCCTCTTAAGTTTTACCCTTGACTTATCCATGGGTCATCTCAAAATCCTTAATTTTGACCCCAACACCTGCTCCTAACTTCTACTTGAGGTTGACTTATACATTAGTATATATGCTTATCCTGTCTACTACTGAGATACTCACACTTTTCAGGTGGTGTTATTGTAATAGTTTGAGCTGTAAACTCTTCATCAAAATATCTTGTGTCTGTCTCGGATGTCACTTGAGGTTTAAATGGAGGAACAAGCTGAAGAAGTGGGAAAGAAAAAAGCACATACTTGCATATTAATATACACAAATGAAAACTAGTAGTGTAGTAGTAGGAACAAATAAGTGGCATGACAATGACTAAAAGTCAATTCATGTATTAATTTATGGGAAATCATTAGGCCATTTTCATTGCTGTTTCACTTTCCTTTCATAAAAGACAAGAGCACGTTGCTTGCCTGTAACTGTGATGTTTTTCAGTGATCATCTGTGCCCTCAACACAATGGATTTTGTGCCTATGCGTAAACAACAACCAGGACATTCTGGAGCTCAGTAGCTTAGCAGGAAGCAAATGATATAACTATGTATCATAATAAGATGGCATATGACTTGAGGTCATCTAGTGGTGAAAAGGAAGGTTCATCTACTGTTAGACCCATCGCAAATTAGCCTCTTGCGGGAGCAAACCTTGTCAGCACGTCCCTGACGTCATGAGACTCCACCTCTCGCCCCGGCCCTTTCTCAGCCTCTTTCTCCGTGCCAGAGTGGTTTTTCCTTTGCTAGGGCAGCATTGCCAGCATACTCTCGTTGTTGGCAGAATTCAACAACGAGAGTACGCTGGCAATGCTGCCCTAGCAAAGGAAAAACCACTCTAGCATGGAGAAAGGGGCGTGGAGAGAGGCGCAGTCTCCTGACGTCAGGGACGTGCTGGCAAGGTTTGCTCCCGCAGGAGGCTAGTTTGCGGCGGCTCTTATGCAGGAGAGGATGCAGTTGATGAAGAAGAAGATGGAGAGGAAGAGTTAGAATGATAGTCCATCAGAAGAGACATCTAGTGGTAGTTACTGAAAAGTAGAAGCAGTTGCAAACAGGAAAAACAACTGTGCAGAAGAGTCCATAATGACAGAAGTTTGTATCAATGGAACCAATGCAGAAGTTGAACAAATAGTAAAAGTTGCCACACAAGCAGTATAAACTGAGCTGTTCTGGAGAGACAATGGTACTGCACTCACAGAAATGGATTGCAGAAGAGATGGAAAAGAAATAGAAACAGTAGTTGTAGTACAAGGACATGGCAAATGGAGATGAGAAAGATGGCAGAGAGGAATGTCACTATATGAACATCAATATTTAAAGGGTTTTACACACATGTAGCTGCCACATTTTATACTCCATTTCGGCCATAACCTCAAATGAAAACTGTGTTTTGATAAATTTACTTTCTCTGATATTAGATTTAATTCATTCCCAAGCAGAGAACAACTAGAACATCCTTTTTTAACATACAGGTAATGAACAAGGTATATACAAGATAGGTTCTGTAGGTTTGTTCTGAAGTTGAATTTGTACATAAGTCAGAACAGGTACATTTTTAAGTGTAACTCCAGCCATATATATAAGCTTTGGATAGCATTGGGAAGGGATGACACCCCTGTGGTGTTCGCTTTGCTGTCTGGGCTTCTGTTCAAAAAGTTTCACCTCACTTTTTTCCCTGTGATAGTTGGATTTTGAAAAAAAAATGGACTGTTGTGGAAACAAAGATTGGTGATAAAGCTTCAGTGGAGAGACCTTTTCTTCCTGATAGCTCTTTCAGAATGAATTTCTTTTCTAAGGGGTAGATTTCTCTCACTTCTTGTCATCTCACCCCTGTCTTAACTATTAGTCAGGGACTGTCGGCATATTAATTACTGTTACAGAAAGCATTTCAACCTAATTTAATGTGAAAAATACTTACTCTTCTCAAAGCTTTCATTGCTAAAGTCCTAATGCAGCTATTTCTTGACATCATAGATAACTGATATATTAATATTATGGTAAAAAGTCACTGGAGATGATACAATGCACAGAATAGGCAACTTCATTCTTTGCTCCTGCATGTACTGAACGTGCTCTCAATTACTGAACATATACAAGCAAATACTTCACTTCATTGCTTAAAAAATACCCTATTTACTTGAGTCTAATGCACCACTGAACCTAATGCACACCTCAATGTTCAAAACTCTGAAACCAAAAAAAAAAGGATTTGCTGGTGAATGTAATGGACAGCTGCAAAAAGTGCACTCTTTGCAATTTGGCCAAAAATGTGAGCATTACAGTGGCTGCAATGCTTATAATTCCTTTAAAAACAAAAATGTTAGAATACCAAAGCTTTCAACAATGGAAAAGAAAACCTTGGGTGCATCTATGATGTAGAATGAATCCACTTTAATTGCCTTGGTTCAATGCTATGGGATCCTGGGGGTTGTAGTTTGACAAGGTTTTGAACCTTCTCTGCCACACAGTGCTGATGCCTCACCAAACTACAAATCCCAGGATTGCATAGCATTGAGCCATTGCAATTAAATTAGAGACAATGTCCCTCAAATAAGAGCTCCTGGTGCTCCTGAAGTAGCTTCCTCTTTTGCTTTGGCATTAAAATTACCATATTATACAAATCTAATATGCACCGTAATTTTGCAAAGATTATTTAGCACTATGTGTTGCCCCAAAGTTTTTTTTAGTTTGTTTTTCATGGTAGGGCTTGTTTTGGAATATTATATAGGAAAAATGAGAAAGACATTATAGAGGAGAATACTGGATAGCTCCTTTAGAGCCAGACCAAGTATGTTGATCATCCAGCAAAGCCAAAGGGGTCTAGATGGGTGGACCATCTGGGCTCTGTCCTGCCACAACTAAGGATGGAGTGTGTGACTGTCTTTGGGAAAAATCCAAAGTACCTGCTCCATATTGGCCCTGAATTAAGAAGCCTGACTAGATGAGACCTAAGTCAGAATTCATAAGCATCCCTGTTTTGTTTATGTGACACAGGGCTAAAGTGGTTACTTTTTAAAGAAACTTATTAAGTTGGTTTGGGCAAAGGATGAGCCTAAAGACTCAAAACAGGTACTCAAGATCTGGAAAATGGAATGTCTGCCAGGAAGGCAAAATATGTTTGGAATCCTTTACACTGAAATCATTTCCATGGAAATATACAACACAAAAATAAAACGTTGAGCTAAAAATAATTTGTGACATGATGAATGCTAACACATGCTAACATTTCCTAAAAAATCACAACACTGAATGAAACTGTTAAAAAAAGATTTTTTTCAGTAATAGGTAATTCACACCACACTTCCTTTTTGATTATCACATTTGTATTTCAACAGTTATACTATTTTTATAAACTCTAAGAGAGTAGTATATAAAACTATTTGCAGAACCATGTTACATAATCATTCATTTCCTACCAACAAGGCATTCAAAGAAGAAATGTTACCTTGTAAAAGCTGTTTTTGTGACAGAATACTGAATGTACGAGTCTAGGTTTATTAAGCCTTACAGGCAGGTTATAAGAATACTTTGTAGAAGACTCAAAATCAATGAAAGTTGACACTGCATTATCAAAATGGTCCTATATTTAAACAGCTTCTTATTGTTATCACTCAAAACATTCACAAACATTAAGCCCTCACTAGATAACTAGGATAACCTCTAGCACTATGTCCCAGTAGCACTTTACTTGAGTTTAAAACTCTCTGCACATGGCACTTGCCCAGAATTCCAACATACTACCTCTCACACCCAGCACTTTTTAATCTGTACCCTTCATTGGCCCGGCCCTGGTTTTATTGCATGACAGTGTAATGTTTTGTTATTGCTTATGTTTTTAATTTGCTTTGTATCGTATTGTTATTGTCTATTATTGTTGTGTTGAGGCCTTGGCCTTTGTAAGCCGCATCGAGTCCTTCGGGAGCTGCTAGCGGGGTACAAATAAAGTTTAATAATAATAATAATAATAATTAATAAATAATAATAATAATAGATATGCCAAATACAGCAAATCTGTGAGTCAGTGAGTCCAGCCCTCCATGACACATTATTAAGAATTGAGTGGTATGCATGTCTAGCCAGCTGTTTCAACATCACAAAAGTAGAATATTTTAAAACAATGACATTAAATAATAAATACATAAATATCGTATTAGTTTTGTTCTTGATTAGGGCCTATGTCACCATGAAAGACATACTAGAAGTAAAGCGCTCAACTGAGCAAGAGAGAATTAAGCACAAACATAATAATAATAATAATAATAATAATAATAATAATACTTTATTTATACCCTGCCACCATCTCCCCGAAGGGACTCAGGGCAGCTTACATGAGGCCAAGCCCATCAAATACAAATACAACAATGCATCCACAAGCAAGCAAGCAAATAAAACAATATAAATAATACAACTGAACATATAAGCAATAACACACAAAAGATTTAAAACATTATGGCAGGGCCAGATGTAGATTAAAATTTTAAAACTCTGGGCATGTACAGAATAGGATATGTCTAGGCACGGGGTTTTTAAAAAGTGATATGGGGGGATCAATCCGACGGATAGATAAAGTGCTTCAGAGGATGCATAGAAGGAAATTGGTTAGATCGAGCATTATTTCCTTCACACTGGAACAGCCACGTTTTCAAGATCCTCCTAAAACTGCCAAAGTGGGGGCTTGCCTGATATCTTTAGGTAGAGAGTTCCAGAGTGGGGGGGGGGGCACCATAGAGAAGGCCCTCTCCCTCATCCCCACCAATCGCGCCTGCAAAGGGGGCTGGAGCGAGAGCAGGGCCTATCCAGATGAACGAAGAGATCGCGTGGGGTTGTAAACAGAAATGCGATCATGTAATGCTTTTTGTTGAAACAAGGCAGATAAAAATGCTTATCCTATATTATAATGTATAAGTCTAGAAAATTCAGTCAAAAAATCAACCCAATTTGGTCATAGAATCATAGAATCATAGAATCAAAGAGTTGGAAGAGACCTCATGGGCCATCCAGTCCAACCTCCTGCCAAGAAGCAGGAATATTGCATTCAAATCACCCCTGACAGATGGCCATCCAGCCTCTGCTTAAAAGCTTCCAAAGAAGGAGCCTCCACCACACTCCGGGGGAGAGAGTTCCATTGCTGAATGGCTCTTCAATTTGAGTATTGAACTTTACCTCTTACCAAAAAGGGAACCATCCCATTCTCTGAGTAGAGTGATGAAAGAAAAGTTTTATCCATCCTGTAAGAACCTAAAAGAAGCACCGACTACTCTCCTTACTCCACCATGATGCTTTTTGGATTTTTAAAAAATGTGTTTTGAATGCCTGAGTGGGAAAATGGCAGCAGTGCCCAGGGGTAGATGAGACCACATTGGTGGTTTCCTCTCTTTATGGAATAGCCCTCTATTTTTCCATGGGTCATACAAAATGTATTGCCCAAGTATGTTGAGGGACTCCAAAGAAGTCCTCAACCTATACACGAGGTCAACTTATACGTGAGTCTATGTATAAGTTTTGCTAATGGTTTTGCTAATTTGAAGAACTATTTAAAATGTTTTGCATTAAAATATATAAAATGTGTAATATCTTTAGGAAAATGTAAACAATTCAGTGTCAGCCCATACCTACCTTTTTATCATATACATCTTGCCAGTTTATTCCAGCAAAGAAACTGTGTCGCATAATTTCTTTAGCATCATCTGGTCCTCCACCAAGACTATTTGAGAGAGAAGTATAAATTATGTAAGTCATATTAGTTAAAAGAAAAAGGAAATAATTTTCATTTAGCTTAGACATTTTAAATTTAAGTACCACCACAAAAACATAAAACTATTTTAGAAAACAGCAACAAGTTGCCCACTTAAATGCCCTAATTCAATTCTTGAACTGAGTATCATTCCAACTGGAGCAGGCACAGGCAAACTTTGGCCCTCCAAGTGTTTTGGACTTCAACTCCAAACACCTGGAGGGCCAAAGTTTGCCCACGCCGGAACTGGAGATGAAGTAATTTTAAAAATTAAAATATATGCATCCAATATTACATGTTTTTACAAATGTGGCTTGAAATTAATGCAATCCCACCTATATTGGCTATAACTTGTTGTCCAAATAGTGTAGAAATTGGAGATGAGTCATATAAACATATTTCATAATTATGTTATTCTGCTTTTCTTAGAACATGCAAAATATACACTTTGCAGTGGACAAAGATAAACTATATAAGGAAACATGAAGTACTGTACTTCTACTTCCTATTCCACTTGCATCCACAGACAGCTCCCAGATATAAGCAGTTTTGTAAACATGTCTGTTTTCCCTGACATGAGCCAATATACAGCTACAACAACATTTACTAATTGGAACAAAGATTCTGACACACAATAGTTAAAAGACTAGTATTTTCAACCAACCTCATCTATAACATTCTTTCTGTTCTGTTGGCTCTTAACTCTCAATTATGACTTCCTTCCCTCCTCCAATTTTCTCACCATATTACTTTACCTCAATGCTTCATTTTGCTTTGCAATAATTTTTCTCTTATTTTATTTTTTATGAACTTGCATTCTAACGTCTCCCTTTCAGCAGAATGAGGTTATCTATCGTAAACATTTTGACATTAGACCAGAAATCATCTCATTGAAAAGTAAATGAAAACCAAGCCTTTTTCTCTTTCTAATTCTCCTACGGAGATATGTTAATGGTAGCTTATTTTATTTTACTTATTATTTTGTGGCACTTGTAATAATTCACCCTTATGTTTAAAGAGCAGTGTACATACAGATACATGTATGCACAAAGACAGACATGTGCTTTTTAAATATGGAGTCAGAACAGTTTGTTTCAACATCCACTTCTGTTCAGTCAGTTTGAGAGAGAAATCTAGTATTGCTGTCACTTGACATATTTAATCTGGCATTGCTAGTCTTTGCCCACTAATGCTGCAATTAGATAAGATTGCCCTTTTCATACAATAGATTCAGATAACTGCTGTTGTTGCAAGGGTAAGTTTTAGCTATGGAGGTGGGAGTCATATCAGAGGAATAACGTGAAGGAGGGAGAAAACAGAAAGGCACACAAATGATACCTGCATTTCCCTCCCATACCAAACAGCAGTTTTAAAGAACAGATTTTAAAAAATCATTGGTAGAAGAGCTTAACTTGTTAACACCTTTCCACCTAGCACTAGTTTCAATCCAAGAACCAATTTCAAGGAAGGAAACCATTATATCTCTTGGTATCTTATTGAATTATGCCTATGTATTCTAATGCTTGAAAAAGGTAAATTCACAAGAAAGGTCAGCATTCAAGCTCCTCTGTGTGGTCTTTTTCAGTCTTCCACATATAATGATATGAATGTATGGGTTCCTGTTAAAGACCCTATAGAGGCGAATCGAGTTAGAGATGGAGGACTCAGAATGCGTGATAAAATGGTGGTGAAAAGCAAAGTCATTATTTCTCTCTTGACACACAGAAGCAGAGAAAGTTTGAATCTGCTAACTTGCAGAGAACTGAGTCAACATAAGGATGATGCCCTGATAAGGAAGAACAGATCATCCTATTCAGTCTTGGGAGCCAGAAGGTAGTTAATAAAGACCAGAGAAACTACATGGCAAGATACATAACATGGATGTATAAATGAAGGGATTTTCAAAACTCAGAGGTGTACCAGAACACATGTGTATCTGTTCACCCATCACTCCATTCTACAGCCTGATCAACTTTAGAAGAGGGGTCATGTGTGTATTTGGATGGATGTGTATTTGAGGCCTCTTGATACCTGAAAATATGTCGTAATAAATAAACCCAGATCTGATGTCTATTTCCACATTCCTAAAGCTGGGACAATTGTTTGCTTCAGATAATTGAAAAAGAACCAGTTACTGGGGAAAATTTATTATTATTTATTATTTTATTTAAAACTTTTATATCCCGATCTTCTCACCTTCGTTGGGGGACTCAGACCGGCTATTTTGGCAACATAGAGAGCAATGTCCTGAAGAAGAGAAAATTCTCTATCCATGGGGCGTTCTATGTGTATGTGGGGAAAATTAGAACTTAAATTGCTGGGGGGAAAGGCTAATAACTGCAAGGAATTCAGATGATAATATGACAAAACATTTATCCAGTGTTTCCTATCTTGTTTTCTTATCTATTTTTTAATTTATTTATTTATTTATTTAGAGGATTTCTATACCGGCCTTCTCAACCTCGACGAGGGACTCAGGTCGGTTTACAGTACATATCAAATACAATCAGATAAAACAGCAAATACAACTCATTACATATTAAAATAGTACAACTCAGTACAATAAAACCTCATCATTACATCATTACAGTTTCCTACGCCAAATCGTCAATCCAGTCATGGTCATAATCATATTCATAGTCGCAGTTCATCATAATCCATCACAGGGAAGGTTCCAGGTTCAGTCTTTGAATGCCGCATTCCAGAGCCATGTTTTTAACGATTTCCTGAACGTCAGGAGGGAGGGGGCAGATCTAACCTCTAGTGGGAGGGAGTTCCAAAGCCGGGGAGCCACCACCGAGAAGGCCCTGTCTCTCGTCCCCACCAACCGTGATTGTGAGGGTGGTGGGACCGAGAGCAGGCCCCCCCGGAAGATCTTAATAGCCTTGATGGTTATAGGGGAGAATCCGTTCGGACAGGTAAACTGGGCCAAGCCGTTTAGGGCTTTATAGGTCAAACCAGCACTTTGAATTGTGCCGGAAGCTGATCGGCAGCCAGTGGAGCTGGCGTAACAGAGGGTTATGTGCTCCTGTACCCCGCTCCTGTTAGCATCCTGGCTGCCGATCGTTGGACCATTTGAAGCTTCCGAGCAGTCTTCAGAGGCAACCCCACGTAGAGAGCGTTGCAGTAGTCTAAACGGGATGTAACCAGAGCGTGGACCACCGTGGCCAAGTCAGACTTCCCAAGGTACGGGCGCAGCTGGCGCACAAGTTTTAATTGTGCAAAAGCTCCCCTGACCACCGCCGAGACCTGGGGTTCCAGGCTCAGCGATGAGTCCAGGGTCACTCCCAAGCTGCGAACCTGTGCCTTCAGGGGGAGTGTAACCCCGTCAAGCACAGGCTGTAACCCTATGCCCTGTTCGGCCTTTCGACTGACCTGGAGTACCTCTGTCTTGTCTGGATTTAGTTTCAATCTGTTGTCCCTCATCCAGTCCGTTATAGCGGCCAAGCACCGGTTCAGGACTTGAACAGCCTCCTTAGTAGCAGGTGGGAAGGAGTGACAGAGTTGGACATCATCTGCATACAGGTGACACCATACCCCGAAACTCCGGATGATCTCTCCCAACGGCTTCATGTATATGTTGACCAACATAGGGGACAGTACAGAGCCCTGCGGGACCCCACAGTACAACGGCCACGGAGTCGAGCAGGTGTCCCCTAATGACACCATCTGGGAACACCCCTCGAGAAAGGACTGGAGCCACTGCAGAGCAGTACCCCCAAGGCCCATTCCCGCGAGACGTCCCAGAAGGATACCGTGATCGACGGTATCGAAGGCCGAAGAGAGGTCCAGCAGAACCAACAGGGACACACTCCCCCTGTCCAGTTCCCTGCGCAGATCATCCACTAAGGCGACCAAGGCTGTCTCCGTACCATGCCCCGGCCTAAAACCAGACTGCGCAGGATCTAGATAATCCGTGTCTACCAGGAACTCCTGGAGTTGCGAGGCCACCACACGTTCCAGGACTTTGCCCAAATAGGGGAGATTGGAAACTGGCCGATAGTTGACGAATTGAGTGGGGTCCAGTGATGGTTTTTTCAACAGCGGTTTTATAACAGCTTGTTTTAAGCTGGCTGGAATGATGCCTTCCCGAAGGGAGGCATTAACCACCACCTTTACCCACTCTGCCAAACCCCCTCTGGCTTCCTTTACCAGCCAGGATGGGCAGGGGTCTAGGATGCATGTGGTTGGCCTCGCTTCCCCAAGAATCCTGTCGACATCCTCGAGTTGAACAGAGTTTAACCCATCATTTGTGAATATTCTCAAATGCTGTGGCCCCAATGTGAGCAGTATGGACTACTAAATAAGTACAGAGAATTTCTGGGGATACTGACAGTTTCATTAGAAACTTCTGAGCCTGTAATGAGTCCTCTTCAGTAGAGACTCAGAATTAGGGGATTTAGAGCACTTAATGAGCTCCAAATTATTCAGCTTCTAAAGAGGAGGGGGTTAATTACTGGTTTCCAATCCATACCCAGAGCAACTATTGGTTATTTTCATATTATGTGCACTATTTCATAAAAACTGAATTTTAAAAACAAAATAGAAATGAATGGAATATTTCTTTAGAAAACAATTCTTTCAGATTTACCGTTTATTTGGATCTTTTATCAGTAGACCTGAAAGCAGTGATTTTGCATCAGATGAAAGTGTTCGAGGAAATTTTATATCCTCCATTAGAATTAGTTCAAAAAGTTTTTCATGATCCTGGTTGTAGAACGGCAACCTGCCACACATCATTTCGTACATGACAACTCCAAGTCCCCACCAGTCCACTGCACGACCATAGTCATTATCTTCCAAAACCTAAAATAGTAAAATTATGACATTAACATTTATACTCAATGTCTATTCTTTTAAATGTAACTTCATTAGGGGTATTGATTTTAAAGGCCTCCCTACATAAGCAGCTTAGTCAAGTCCTATGTCTGGGACTGAAGGAGCTTTCTTTACTTGCTCAGCCTCCATTTCTTTCTGAGAACATAAGACATAGCTGCTGAGCATTGCCAAAAATAGCACAAATGTGGGTTTCTGTAACAGCCTTTGTCTCAAGAGTGTGGTTGGGGAAAGGAAAACACACATATATACCTCCATTGTAAATGAATGTCACCTGGTGCTGTGAGTGTGTCAACATATTTGGGGTATGAATGAGTCTAATACTTCCTTCATCCCATCAGAATATGTTCACAGGCACACTGACAGCATGAGGTGACATTCAGTTATAATGGAGGTATTACATATGTGTGTTTTCTTGAAACAAAGGCTGCCCGAGAAACCCACAGCTGTACTATTTTTGGCAATGCATCTTCCTAGTATGTGAAATGAAGGCATATTTCAAATATTTCCAAAAAGGTTTACTTGAGACTTAATTAAGCACACAGTTTACTATAGCCTAGGGTACTTGAGCTGATAGAAAAAGTCCATCAGAAACATTAGGAAGAGGCAGTTTCCATCTCCAACACCCACAGCATCTTCCGTAGAGCAGGGCTTCTAAAACTAAGGGTTTTAACCCCAAACAGGGTCCCCTTAGCTCAACGTTGGAGTCCCAAATAATTTTCTGCTATCTCATGGTGACTGTTTTAGACATTTACATGAATCTATTGCGCAGTGTTTACAGTGCAGAAAATGCTTCAGCCACACTTCATAAAAAGGGAAATCACCCTGTTGAGAGCCAGCTTTGCAAATGTTGATTTGTTATCAGTAAGTGTTTCCTTTGTAATCCTCATTTTATACCCCGATATACCCAAAATAGCACAGAAATATCTCGGAAATGGCACAGCATTTCTAGTCATAGAAAAAATACTGTTTGATTAACATGTGGAATATTGATAGCACCTGGGTAATGACTCTGAATGCCATGATGCAATATCTAAGGGGATGTGGTAAAGGCTGAGTCATAACCATGTGAGATGTATTGATCTTCAGTTTTAATGATGAATTTTAAATTTCCACTCTATGTCCAACTTTTGTTTTGTGTATTTTAATATGTATCTTATGGAAATATGTTTAATATGTGTATTCTACAGAGTGTTTTTAAATGATTATGTGTTTGGATTATGTTTTTTAGCAATGTTGTAATCCACCTCGAGCTGTGAGGAGGCGGGTAAGAAATAAAATTGTTGTTATTGTTGTTGTTGTTGCAAAGGGATTGCATCAGCCAATGTCCCTTACTGACGACCTATCAGCAGGTGGCTCTAAAAGAGGGAAGAATGGTTCCATCTTCCTCTTTCCTGTGTGACTCTTTGTTTATGCTGTATGTGTCTATCTAAGAATCTGATAGTTTGTAAGGACAATCCTGAAAGTGGATCAACACATCCTGATCGTACATTTTGTATATGGTATATTGCAATGGTGAAAATTATACCCTCCAGGTATTTTGGATGAAACCTGAATTTGTGTGTTTACTAAAGTGTGTAGATAAGGTCAGATGCTTGCAGTTGGAGACTGAAGCATGGTTTTGCTGTGAAAGATTTGCTGTATTTTGCTAGCTTCTGAGACACTTGCTATCCAGAATGCAGCGGTCAGGAGATCGTAATTTGGAAATTGTATATAATTTCACAAACCCATCCCGCAACAGAGAGATCCCGACTGGAAAAGTTTAAGACTGGACTGGAGAACTGGTTTTTAAGTGATGGAGGGAGACAAGCAGAGCATATATTGTTTTAACTTACAGGGAAGGCATACCAAAACAATTTTTAAATGATTTTAAAAAACCTATAACAACATGTTAATTAAAAACTATACAAAATACTAGAAAAATATCCAACTGGGAACAAATAACTTTTAGAGCAAGGATCACTTCGAAACCGATCAAGGACAAGCGTGAGAAGGAAATATAACAATGAAAGCCAGGCCACTGAACTAAATAAATGGCCCCAGAAAATAGATCTTTCACATGATATCTAAAAAATGAAAAGTTGACACCAAGTAAATTTTACTGGGGAAAAGATTATATAATAACAATATTATAGTAAAAAAAATGGCTATTGAAACTAATATTATATATATATATATATGCATTTCTCCCCCTCTCTCTCTCTCTCTCTCTCTCTCTCTCTCTCTCTCTATATATATATATATATAAATATATATCTCAAGTTAGCTTCACAAAATAAATCATCATTTGCAGCATCAAAACAAGAGATCTATAAAGATGCTGTCTTCAAAAACCAAAGTAAAATTATTCTGGAGATTATTATTATAGCTATTTTTTATTACTTCAATGACCAAATGCTACACATATTTTTTTCAAAAGTAAGGTTTAGTAATTTCAGTGGTTCTCGTTGCCCTAGAACATGTACACAAAAATCATATTCTAAATTATTCCTTACAAAAGGTATATAATAGGATAAAATGTTGACAATGACACATGAATTTTATCAGGACTACTGTAAAATACATGTTAATTACAATCAAGGTTTAATCCCCAAGTCCTTGTTTTGTTAACTCTGTCCTGGCAATCAATTTTTTTTTATTTTTACACTATTACAGCAGTGCATTTTTCTAGGTTTCCAAAACCACCTTATTCAACCTTCCCCATCTGTCACCATCTGCTTCTTTTTAGCATGTACTTTTTGTGTGATCACACAAGCATGTGAAAAATAACTAACATTCAGATGATTATCTGTTCATACATTTGAGGACTGGGCATAATAAATGTGAACTGCCAAAAATGTATTTAACACTTTTAATTTAGCTGGGTCCTGCGTATGAGCAAAATTTGACTGTCAAATTGTTTTACAATTAGAAGGCTGAGCAAGTATTGCTACCTCAATAGAAAAGCTAAAAGTCCATATAATTAACCAAATAATATTTAGGATTTTCAGTAAATATAAACCCAGAAATCACACTCTAGTAAAAGACATGAATCACTAAATGATACTGACTATTGTATTTTGGTCTCTGAAGCAATTCATGAACAATCTTTTCAATCTGAACAACAATTTTAAGTTGATGATTCTAAAAGATTTCAATACTTTTTTTTGTTAAAGATTATCTAATGCACAGGAATGAAGCTATACAAAGAATACTAATTAAACCTGCTATATGATAGAGGGCTCCAGCAAAGGATCACCGCCTTGTCGTGGCGCTGGAGCTTGAGCACCTCAATGATGTCATGAGTGAAACCGTGAAGGGCCACCCAAGACGGGACGGTCGTGGTAGAGAGGTAAGACCAAACGTGATCCCTGGGGAAGGCAATGGCAAACCATCCCAGTATCCTTGCCAAGAAAACACAAGAATGGCCATCAGACTGGAAAAAATCAACTTATATCCCCATACCAAAAAAGGGAAATGCGAAAGAGTGCTCAAACTTCCGTACAGTGGCCCTTATTTCTCATGCCAGTAAGGTAATGCTCAAGATCCTGCAAGGAAGACTCCAGCAATACATGGAGCGAGAGTTGCCAGATGTTCAAGCTGGGTTTAGAAAAGGCAGAGGAACGAGAGACCAGATTGCCAATATCTGCTGGATAATGGAGAAAGGCAGGGAGTTTCAGAAAAACATCTACTTCTGCTTCATTGACTATTCTAAAGCCTTTGACTGTGTGGATCATAATAAATTGTGGCAAGTTCTTGGTGGGATGGGCATACCAAATCACCTTGTCTCTCTCCTGAGGAACATGTATAAGGACCAAGTAAGCAACAGTAAGAACTGACCATGGAACAACAGACTGGTTCAAGATTGGGGAAGGCGTACGGCAGGGTTGTATACTCTCACCCAACCTATTTAACTTGTATGCAGAACACATCATGCGATGTGCGGGGCTTGACGAATGCAAGGCTGGGGTGAAAATTGCTGGAAGAAACATTAACAACCTTAGATATGCAGATGATACCACTTAGATGGCCAAAAGCGAGGAGGAGCAGAGGAGCCTTCTAATCAAGGTGAAAGAAGAAAAGTGCAAAAGCTGGGCTGCAGCTAAACATAAAAAACCCAAGATTATGGCAACAAGAATGATTGACAACTGGGAAATAGAGGGAGAAAAGGTGGAGGCCGTGACAGACTTTGTATTTTTAGGTGCAAAGATTACTGCGGATGCAGACTGTGGCCAGGAAATCAGAAGACGCTTACTTCTTGGGAGGAGAGCAATGTCCGATCTCGATAAAATAGTAAAGAGTAGAGACATCACACTGGCAACAAAGATCCGCCTAGTCAAAGCCATGGTATTCCCTGTAGCAACCTATGGATGTGGGAGCTGGACCTTAGGGAAGGCTGAGCGAAGGAAGATAGATGTTTTTGAACTGTGGTGTTGGAGGAAAGTTCTGAGAGTGCCTTGGACTGCGAGAAGATCCAACCAGTCCATCCTCCAGGAAATAAAGCCCGGCTGCTCATTGGAGGGAAGGATACTAGAGACAAAGTTGAAGTACTTTGGCCACATCATGAGGAGACAGCAAAGCCTAGAGAAGACAATTATGCTGGGGAAAGTGGAAGGCAAAAGGAAGAGGGGCCGACCAAGGGCAAGATGGATGGATGGCATCCTTGAAGTGACTGGACTGACCTTTAAGGAGCTGGGGGTGGTAACGGCCGACAGGTAGCTCTGGCGTGGGCTGGTCTATGAGATCACAAAGAGGCGGAGACGACTGAACGAATGAACAACAACAAACATGATAGAGGGCTCAGATGGTTAAATGATATTTGAATTAAAATAATTGTTCTAAATCTTAAAGCATGAGTGTCCAAAAGATCCAACGTTTGAATATACAATTAACCGTTCTCCTGTATTTACATATACAAAGCAAGGACAAGGAACATGTAGTCCTCTATATGTCACTGGACTGCAAATATCATCATCCCTCGCCATTAGCCATACTAGAGTTTATGGTAACTGCAGTCCAACAACACCTACAATATATACTACATGGTCACACTGTTACAATGAAATAAAATCTAAAATACTTAAATGTACAAAGTAAAATGCTGACTTACCTCAGGAGCCAAATACTCTGGTGTGCCACAGAATGTTTTCATAGTAGCTGCATCTGTAATTCCTTCTTTGCAAAGTCCAAAATCTGTAATTTTTATGTGTCCATCTTTATCCAACATTAGATTCTCTAACTGCATTTTACAAATATACAAGATCATATTTTAAACATTTTAAGGGGGGAAACTATTTTTTAAAGTTTATCACATTTAATGCTATTACAATTTAGAACATAGTGAGATGAGACATGAAATTTGAATAACCATAACCCTCAATACTTCTAAGATTCCGTTTGTCTGCCTTTTGATTAAAAGTCACTGCAGGTTTCCTCAACTGGGTGAATCTTTTCCCTATGCTTTTTTGTTTTTGGGTTTGTTTGTTGTTGTTGGTTTGTTTTGTTTGTTTGTTTGTTTTTTGCCTTAAACTGGACACTCCATCAACCTACTATTTCACAGATGGGCAAATAATGGTTTACAGAGCTTGATATTTTTATTGGCCCTTAATACTAAATATTCATTGTCTAAGAAAATCCTATTAAATCAACAGGTATGCCAAAATGACAGGTGATTTGAAGGCACACATACACACACACACAGTATCATACTTGCCATATAAGTGCTCAAAGAAGGACTGATTTTTTTGGTCCAAACATCTATATCCCCAACTCAAACTGCGAAACTGTGAAAATGTGATGTGTTTCTAGCCAATTGCAAGAGCTGGAAGTGTCATAAAGTGACTTTCATTAATGCCTAGAGTGGTTCTCAAAGTATTTCTCATGCATCCACAGTGAGCTTCTGAGATTGCTATACTAATTTTTTATATGTATGGATCAAGTATAGAAAATTAATGGTAGTTTTAAGATTTTGTTGGAATGTAATTTCCATCATCCCCCACTATTGGCTAGGGCTGGAAATTTGAACATTCATGAATTGCCTATGCTTAACTTTAACTAAGAAGATCCGAATCAACTCTACTGTGGGAAGAAGGTTTCAACAGGAGCATCAATTATGCCAACTGGAAACCAATCTGTGAGCCATCTTAATAGGATAGTGCCAAATAGATGTTGCCCTCTCTGTACAAATAGTGTCAGCAAGACTATTTTTTATCAAAAGTATGGAAAGGGTTGAGTTCAGGTTTTTTGTTGCCAATGGTCCTGCTGCATAGCACTCAACATAACTTCCAATGTACATCTTTAAATCCCTTGATATTAATGGCATTAAAGATTTTGCTTGATTTCCTCAAGCCTGGGACAACAATGAACAGTGGGTGCTAAATAAACAGCCCTCATATTTTAGAAGAGTATCATATATTATTATATATCTAATACAGTACTAAAATGGGTTGTTGTCGGTTTTTCGGGCTATATGGCCATGGTCTAGAGGCATTCTTTCCCGACGTTTCACCTGCATCTATGGCAAGCATCCTCAGAGGTAGTGACCTCACTACCTCTGAGGATGCTTGCCATAGATGCAGGCGAAACGTCGGGAGGGAGTGCCTCTAGACCATGGCCATATAGCCCGTCGAAGGCTTTCATGGCCGGAGTCACTAGGTTGTTGTATGTTTTTTGGGCTATATGGCCATGGTCTAGAGGCATTCTTTCCCGATGTTTCACCTGCATCTATGGCAAGCATCCTCAGAGGTAGTGACGTCACTACCTCTGAGGATGCTTGCCATAGATGCAGGCGAAACGTCGGGAGAGAGTGCCTCTAGACCATGGTCATATAGCCCAAAAAACCTACAACAACCTAGTGACTCCGGCCATGAAAGCCTTCGACAGTACTAAAAATCTTTTTAACTCTAGAACAGGAAGAAAAACATTCATATGTTGGAAATATATGGTTTTTGAATTATCTCATTTGAGAGTTTCCAGTGGCTTTTCTGGACAAACTTTACCATATATACTAAATGTAATTTCTTTTTGGATTCACAGTGTGAAAGCAAAGCACTAGATTGATAGTAATGGATACTGTTATTATCTCATTGCCACCTAACAAACATAAATGCAGAGATCCAAAATGAGAATCACTATGCTTCTAAAACACAGGCTATGTTCTGAAAATATTATATAGACAGCACAAAAAATTATTAGTTCTTAGGCCCAGTCCTGGGATTATTTGGGACACTGATTCAGAAAATTGCATTGGATAGACTGCATCAGCTCTAGTTTCTTAGAGATAGTTGTCATGACTTTCTATGAGTGAGCAGATCAAAAGACTGATATACGGCATATGTTCTGTATCTCAAAAACAAAAGTCGACAGGGGGAAACTGGAATCAGCAGTTGGAATCAGCAGGTCAAATACACCTAGAAACAGATCTAACATCTGATACACCAAAAAGTGTGTTGCGCAATGGAGATGTTTAGTTAAATGAGTATACTGAGCTAGTCTAGTACTACTTAAGCAGAAGTTCTGAAAATAAAGCCTTTCCTGTTTAATGATGAAGAACTGATTTAACTTATCAGGACATCTGTTGAATCCCAGCCATACACCACCAATATTCGTCCACCTATGGGAGGCTTTTAATAGTTTTTTTAGAGGACTCTAAGACAGATGTACCTACACTGCTCCCTTTTTAGAACCGCCTTATTTTCCACATATAACCTTTACTTCTCCTAAGATAAAGGGGGTAATGATAAGTGATAAGGTGAATAGTAGGAATCACTCTTAACCTATAGGTGGTCTCTGTCACATTAAGATTCTTCTATCCTTAGGAAGACGAAGAATAGAAGATGAGAAGCAACATAAAATAAGACAATGTTTAATGTAAATCTTTATATTAAAATGTCTTTCTCTGTCTCCTGGAAGTATCCAACTACACTGAAAAGAAATTCAGGTTTGAAGCACCCTTTCTTATTTGAATGGGAGTCAAACTAAATACTCTGTGAATGAAGATCTCTATGTTATCCCTATCTGTCTTGTGACAAAACGAAGTGTTTACAAACTTACATAAGTTTATACGTACAACTACCATTTCTCACTACAAGCCACTTCACCACAACTCCTATAAGTGTCTGTTTCTGAAATTCAGAAGTGACTATGGGTCCTTATTTAAGCAAAGCAGCATGATTGACACAGTGTTAGAAGGCTTCAGGGAACTCCTAAGACTTCCATTAGTGGAGCAAAGTTTAGAATGCCTCTGTTTAGAATGCCATCTTACACTAGTCCGCATGGTCGCTTTTCTTCATTTCTGGAGACCCATAATAATTCTAAGAGTTGGTATTGTGTCTGGCATCTTCAGAGGATGATGCCAGCCACAGATGCAGGTGAAACATCATTATTTAGCCAACTGATAGAATCTAAACTACAGTGTGAAATGGAATTTTCATCATCTTGATGCATGTCAGCGTACAGAACAATTTTGTCTCTCATAGTAGTTACTTTATTCAAAATAGCATAACTTTATAATTACTTTGTGTTTGTCCCAGTAGTCTTTTCAAAAACAACATTTTCATTACTCTTTTTTTTTTACCTTGAGATCACGGTACACAATCTTTCCAGAATGCAGATAGTCTAAAGCAGAAACAATTTCTGCACCATAGAAGCGTGTGCGATCCTCAGAGAACACCCGCTCTCTCGACAAATGGAAAAACAGCTGCAGGGTAAACAGCAGGGACAGGATTGCAATAATTACTGATTTAGTGGGGGAAATTAACACAAACATAAAACACCTCTCATCACCATATTGTGATGATAGATAGTGTAGTCTCAGTGGACACTCAGCACTCTTAGACAGCAGCTGGCTTATCTTTTCCAGGTTTCCAAGGGGAAAAAACGAGCTGTTAAATCAGCATTTTAATCAATATACCAATCTTGTTTAAGGCATTCCGCTTGCTACCCATTTAACCTTCAGTTACCAAAGGAAAAAAAGTGCATCATCATCATTTTGTACTTTTTTTCTATTCCATCCTCTCAATTTAAAAAAAAAATAGCTATAAAGGCACTGGACATAGTTTTGCTATATGCATTGAACCATATGGGACTACCCATCCTTACAAGTAAACCCATTTATTTAATCATCAAAATCCTCTTTGAATATTAAAAAAAACCCTTTCATTCATATAAGAGCATTGCACTATATGCATTAACAGTGATTTACAAGTACCATTTTATCCTATTTGATAATGGATACCAAATCCCACTCCCCTATTCTTACTCAACACCATTTCAACAGCAGTTAGTTCAGGGGTTGCCAGAAATAACTTCTCCACTTGGACCTTCCCACATGTCATCCTCCTCTGCTTCTCTGTCATCATGCCTGTATGGCTGCACCAACACACCTCTTGTGTTGTATATAAAACTAGCACAACACCTAAACAGAATGAACATGGAGTTCCTTAAACATGCTCTGCCCTAACATGACTGATACTTTTGATCATGAGTTCATTTTCCCTAATTTTTATTCATAATAACCTCAATTTGCCCATTTTTCTTCATGTGCTATGTGATTACTTTAACACAGATTTTATGTACTGTAAAAGCATTGTAAACATTCAGCAGGTTGTCTACATGTTCAATAGCACCATCTTATACATATTCTTTATTACATCTTTACTAGCCTCTGAATTTAATTGATATAAATTCCATCAGTGTGTATCATCACTGTTGTTCCAATAGAACATTTATTTATTTATTTATTTATTTATTTATTTATTTATTTATTTATTTATTTATTTATAGTATTTATATACTGCCTTTCTCACCCCTGGGGGGACTCAACAATACTCAAAAAAACAAAGGTGGACGTTTCTCAAGTTTCTCTAGATCTCCCAAACCTAATTAACTTAGAAGAGTTAGCTGTAATCAGGGTTAGTAAAACTACTCCACTAAGATTGTGTTGTGGTATTCAAAAGGGAGGAAATGGAGAATGAAAATGAAAGTAAAACTTTCCCATTTCCTCCAGGTCAAGAATTTTGTTTTCAGTGACTCTCTGTGTAACAACCCACTTTTTGAAAACAACATTGTTTCTTAAACCGAAAAATATTTTATGTATACATAAAAAAAATATTTACTTTAATACAAACATGGATGGTAAAGATGATAATAAAACTGTCTGACTGAATAAAAAAAACAAAGAGGTAAATGAAGATAAAACAATATCAATGAAGCACAGAAATATTTTAAGATTTCCCAGGGGTTAGTCATCAGTAGAACAATATTCTTAAGACAATATTCTCAATGAGATGAAGGAAACAAAGAATAATTGTAATTACATTTTAACTATGAAGTTATAATTCAAGAAAAGATTTTAAAAAATCAAGATAACAGCCTGATCCAGACACTCCCTGTTGACTCTACATTCCCTTGTTAGACATGCAGCTCTCAAGGGTGTTTGCTGACTGGGCAGTCAAACTAATGACTGCACACTGCAAACTACACATGGATGGAGAAAACAATAATAGGTGATCTAACCATTTAAAGTGAATCTTTTTATGGTTGGCTTTTACTGCAACAATAACAAGGAAGGATGCAGAGCCCTGCATTGCCAACACAGGGCCATGTAAAAAAGATTTCTGGCCAAAAATGAACAGAACTGGAAGAGGCAATCATTTTTTCCATGTACCATCAAAATCTGCTCTGGAGGATATATACATGCTTCACATCAGGTTTTCTGACTGCCAAATGTAGGCGAGAGATATCTCATCATGCTAATACACATACACTTGAATGACACTGCATTCAGGCTTTAATCATTTGGGGTTAGGAATTAAAATACTATGACATTTCTTATTATTTGACTTACCTCTCCTCCATTGACATATTCCATCACAAAACATAATCGGTCCTTGGTCTGGAATGAATACTTCAAAGACTTAAAGGGAGGAAAAGAGTAATGGAATACTCAATCTTCAAAAAAATAGTACAAATCCAACAATTAGATTTTTTTCTATTCTGAGTAACACAATCCTATTTCTATCTATTTAGAGGTAGGTCATAAGTAGTTTTAAAACATATGAGCATATCTTAAAATACATAAAATAATCTGATTTCAGAATAAAATTCAATAGGTATACAAAAGCTATATAAACCAAAACAAGGCATAATTTATAAGGGCATGATATGCTATAAAACTTTTTGGCTACATGATCTTGCCAAAATTGGGGTGTGCATTAGATTCGTATCATACAGTAATCTTAGTGCTGAGACAAAGCAAAAGGGAAAGGTGCTTCAGGAGCTGCACTTACAGCTCCTCTTTGAGGGACATCATCTCTAACTAAATGACAAGAGCTTAATGCTATGGAATCCTGGGATTTTAGTTTGGTGAGGTATCAGTATTCTTTGGCAAAGAAGGCTCAACACCTTGTCAAACTACAACCCCCAGGATCCCATAGCATTGAACCAAGGCAATTGTTAGTACTGTGTTTTAGTTTATGTAGTAGATTTCAAAGTGTGGTTTTCAAGCTGTAAGCATGTGTATGTAATACTTTCCAGCAAGGATAGAGTTAACAAACGACAGAGCTTTGTATGTTCCCTAGAAGGTACATGTGTGTTAATTTCCTGCTTCCTGTGTGTGAGGCCGGATGCTTCAATTGAATGTGAAGGAGGCGTGTCTATTGCTGATAGAGAAGGCTGAGCATCGCCATTCTTGAATGCTGTTTTACTGGAGCCAGACGCTGCAATGTAACTCTGCTGTATATAGATGTAAATAAAGCTGATTGATTGATTACTTTATGGCTGCTTGCGGGCAGCTTTATTACCTCACCAATTAACAGATTCATTTTACAGTATAGATGCATACAACAGTTTTCTTTTCCATTGCTGTAAGCTCAGTAATGCACACCTTTCTTGGCCAAATTGAACACGGTTCTTGGCCAAATCGAACACGGTTTGTGTCCTTTTTAAGGGCATATGCCGCGGCAATAAAGGCCGCGAAGAAAGATTTCTTCGCGGCCACTATTGCGTCTGCAAAGAACCGTCCGGCTGAGTTGTTCCAAATTGTCAGAGGCCTTTTAAATCCCACCACTCAAGGTGGGAGCCCTGACAATTCGACCTCTCACTGTGAAGCTTTTGCTCAGTTCTTTGCAGACAAAGTCGCTTTGATCCGCTCTGGTCTGGATACCACGTTAAAAGCAGTTTCTGAGGATGTAACACGAGCACCTGCTTGTCCTATTTTGATGGATTCTTTTCAATTGGTGAAACTTGAGGATGTGGACAAGATACTTGGAGGAATGAGGCCTACCACGTCCATCCTAGACCCCTGCCCATCCTGGCTTCTACAGGAGGCCAGAGGGGGATTGGCTGAGTGGGTTGAGGTGGTGGTGAATGCCTCCCTTCGGGAAGGCAAGATTCCAGCAAGCTTAAAACAAGCTATAATAAAACCGCTGTTGAAAAAACCATTACTGGACCCCACTAAATTTGACAACTTTCGGCCAGTGTCCAATCTCCCCTTTTTGGGCAAAGTCCTGGAACGCGTGGTGGCCTCACAACTCCAGGTATTCTTGGAAGACACGGATTATCTGGATTCGGCACAGTCTGGTTTCAGACCGGGACATGGTACCGAGACGGCCTTGGTCGCCTTAGTGGATGATCTGCGCCGGGAGCTCGACAGGGGGAGTGTGTCCCTGTTGGTGCTGCTGGACCTCTCAGCGGCCTTCGATACCGCCGACCACAGTATCCTTCTGGGACGCCTCATGAGGATGGGTCTCGGAGGCACTGTTCTGCAGTGGCTCCGGTCATTCCTAGAGGGCCGTTCCCAGAAGGTGTTATTGGGAGACACCTGTTCAGCCTCACAACCGTTGTCTTGTGGGGTTCCACAGGATTCAATTCTGTCTCCCATGTTGTTTAACATCTACATGAAGCCGCTGGGAGAGATCATCCGGAGTTTCGGGGTACGATGTCATCTGTACGCAGATGATGTCCAACTCTGTCACTCCTTTCCACCTGCTACTAAGGAGGCTGTCCAGGTCCTGAACCGGTGCTTGGCCGCTGTGAACAGTCTGGATGAGGGCGAACAAATTGAAATTGAATCCAGACAAGACAGAGGTACTCCTGGTCAGTCGCAAGGCCGAACAGGGCATAGGGTTACAGCCTGTGTTGGATGGGGTCGCACTCCCCCTGAAGACGCAGGTTCGCAGCTTGGGTGTGACCCTGGACTCATCGCTGAGCCTGGAACCCCAGGTTTCGGCGGTGACCAGGGGAGCATTTGCACAGCTAAAACTTGTGCGCCAGCTGCGCCCGTACCTTGGGAAGTCTGACTTGGCCACGGTAGTCCACGCTCTGGTTACATCCCGCCTAGATTACTGCAACGCTCTCTACGTGGGGTTGCCTTTGAAGACAGCTCGGAAGCTTCAACTAGTCCAACACTCGGCAGCCATGATTCTAACAGGAGCGGGACGCAGGGAGCATACAACCCCCCTATTGCGCCAACTCCACTGGCTGCCGACTTGCTACCGGGCTCAATTCAAAGTGCTGGCGTTGACCTTTAAAGCCCTAAACGGTTCCAGCCCAAGCTACCTTTCCGACCGCATCTCGGCCTATGAACCCACCAGGACTTTGAGATCTTCCGAGGAGGCCCTGCTCTCGATCCCGCCAGCTTCACAAGCATGGCTGGCGGGGACGAGAGACAGAGCCTTCTCGGTGGTGGCTCCCTGGCTGTGGAACGCCTTTCCCACAGATATTAGATTAGCACCATCTCTAATGGTTTTCCACAAAAAAGTAAAGACCTGGTTATTTGCGCAGGCATTCGAATAATCAGTGCAAAGACTGGTAATGACATAGGAATGGAACAATGGATGACGAATCTGGATCATGTTTTTAGTGACGAGACGCTAGTGAATGGTTATCATAGTAATTGTGTATTAATTGTGTATTAGATTAGGTTATTAACTGTTTATATTGGTGCTGAATTCTGCTGTGTCCTGTGTCTTGTGAACCGCTGTGAGTCGCCTTCGGGCTGAGAACGGCGGTATAGAAGCAAAGTAAATAAATAAATAAATAAATTACAAAGAGTACACTTCTTGCTGCTTTACATTATATTCGGCAGTAAACACTTTTTTTTGTTTTGAAATTTGAGGAATGCATTAGATTCAATGGCACATTAGGCACAAGTAAATATGAGTAAGTCATTATAATATTTTAACATATTTACCATATATACTTGTGTAAAAGTCTAAAGATTTAGACAAACAGTGACTCCAAAAACATGGGTAAACCTTCACATAGGTAAATGCGAAAACTCTGCCTGCTGTGGCATTACTTCTGACCTTTTTCCACCAATAATTGCAAAAAAAAAATGGCAGTGGCAGCTTGTTGGCACATAATTGCTGTAATGGAGAGAACAGAGGTTGGGTAATAAGGGTGCTTTTCTTTGCCTTCTCAGCTGCTCAGAGTAGGAAGAGGCTGATTTACTCATGAGGAAGTAAATAGAAGAACACTCTACCCCTTTGCAAAGATTACTTTCTGCCTCAACAGCTACCATCTCCTCCTTATGCTCTTGTCCCAACTTCTTCTTCAGCTAAAGAGGCAGTGGCATGCTCCTTTCTTCGGACACTGGGCATCAGGATGGCCATAGCAGGCCCAAGGCTTGGCAGCAGACAAGACTGCTACAATCTGTAGCACTAGTGGTGGCTTTGGAGTAACCCTAAAGTGTCACTGGCAGCTAGAGAAAGGAACATACCGCTGCCACGAGAGCAGAAAAAGAAGCTGGAACAGGAGCTTTCTATAGCTTGGGGTAAGTAACTGAGGAGAAACTGAGGTATCATGTCAAAATATTTTTAAGAAAAACTTTTTATTAATAAAAAATACACAAATTGAACGTTCAAAGATTTGGTTTGTAATATTTAAGACGTTTGCAATAGGGGTGTCCTACAATAATGAACACAAGTAACTACAACATACATTGTTCTTAAATGAAATGGTCAGTACTGCTTCTATTTCATGTTTAAATAAACATGTCGTAATTTATGAAGTTGAGGACACTAACACATATAATTGGCAAGCCTTCAAAACATAGTTTCTGATGCATATACTACACCACAAAAAATGTCCTGGATCCTAGCAACAACTGGATTTACCAGAGAAAGCACCAGGCTGCACGAATTAATGTGTGTCTTAAATTTATGTTGATGTGTTTTTGATCTATGTGTTTAAAACAGTTTTAGGTTTTTCACTATCTACTGTGTTTTACTTTAGTTCGGAGGAGAGATGAATAAGAAATAAAATGTTGTTATTACTACTATGAATAGTAGTCACTGGGAAGCTTTCAAAACATAGTATTTCACTGCTCCCTAATGTTTTCTATAATTCATTTTCCAATACTATTAAATACAATAAATATATTCAGTATTTATATCAGCTAAAAATATTACTGCTTGGTGTGGTTGCTGGCTGTTAAAGTAAAGATACATAGTTATGCATTCATAACTATTTCTGTGATACAGGATCCCAACTAACATTTTCCTTCTAATAAGCTTTATCACTGAACATTTTTAAAGAAAGGAATTTGGAGGTGTTGTATGGAGGTGTTTTCATTTTACTGTCTTCAATTTGTTAAATTATGTTTTAAACTATTTTAGTGTTGTCAATAGTTTAATTCTATTTTAATGTTGGAGGCAGTCTGTAATCACTTAGAAAAGAATGCTGTGATTACTAAAAGTCAACATGGATTTCTCAAAAATGAGTCATGCCAGACTAATCTTATCTCTTTTTTTTTCTATAGGGTTATAAGATTGGCGGATGTAGGGAATGCTATGGATAGAATAACAACAAAACAGCCAACTTTTTATATCCCGCCCTCTTCTCCACAAGAACTTGGGGCGGCTCACAACAACATCAAGACACAATACATACAAAAGCAAAAACCAAAAAAAGACATAATCTATATTTTTCTTATCTTGCCTGAGTTTTAATCAGTTTTAATCAGTCTCTCCTTTAATCATTACATGTAGCCTGCCCATTGTCATTGTGATTGTGCCTATTGTAATTCTATATTGCTATGTTTTCACATGTTTTATGTAATTATGTTGTTGTTATTGTTTGCGTTTTGGTTTTATTTTATTGTAATTTGCTGTTTGGGCTTGGCCTCATGTAAGCCGCTCCGAGTCCCCATCGGGGAGATGGTGGCGGGGTATAAATAAAGTTTATTATTATTAAATTATAATAATAATAATATATAATCATAACCAGAAGTTTAAAAAATGATATCACAATAAATAAATACATAGGTTAAAATTGTACTGAGTTTAAAAACATATTGCATTGAGGAGGCAAAACCAGTTTAAAACCAATAGATATTAACAAGGCTAAAAGACCACGATCATAAAGAAGTAATCAACCATTTTCGAAAGCCAGCTTCCATATCCAGGTTTTTAGTTCTTTCCTAAAGTTAATTAGAGAGGGCGTCTGTCTGATTTCTTTAGGGAGAGCATTCCAAAGATAGATAGCATATCTTGATTTCAGTAAGGTCTTTGACAAGGTTCCCCATTATCTTCTTGCAAACAAACTAGTAAAATGTAAGGTGGATAATACTATGGTTAGGTGGCTTTGTAATTGGTTAAGAGACCAAACCCTAAGGGTGCTCACCAATGGTTCGTCATCCTGGAAAGAAGGGACTAGTGGGTTCTGTCCTGGGCCCGATGCTGTTCAACATCTTTATTAATGACTCAGATAAAGGTTTAGAGGGAGTGTTTATCAAGTTAGCAGATGACACCAAATTGGAAGGGATAGCTAATACTCCAGAAGACAGGATCAGAATTCAAAAGGACCTCAACAGATTAGAGAGCTTGGCCAAAAATTAATAAAATGAATTTCAACAAGAAGTGTAGTATACTTCACTTAGGCAGAAAAAAGTGAAATCCACAGATACAGGATAGATGACACCTGGTTCGACAAGAGTACATCTGAAAAAAATCAGCTGTTCAACAGTGGGACTCTCTGCCTCAGAGGCTGGATGGCCATCTGTCAGGGGTACTTTGATGGTGCTTTTCCTGCATGACGGGGTTGGACTAGTTCCAACTCTATTATTCTATTATTTTATGATCTTTTGTATGCTCTTAGCCACATTGTGCTAATTGTAAACCCTCTCAACACTGAGTTTTGGAAAAAGATATGGTGTAAATAACATAATAATTACTAGTAGTAGTAGTAGTGAAATTGGTTCTAATCATTATAGAAAATATTCTCCAGAAAGACTGTGTTTGCAAACATTAGGAATTATCATAAGGTGACTTCCAAAAAAATAAGCAAGCTGCCTCCATCCCTTTTGAGTATCTGAGAGGCAGCTGGCACTGCTGTTTTGTATGCCCTTAAAACCAGGATTGAACTATGATACATTTTAACTATGTTCCTTTAATTTTCTATACTCACCGTTAAAAAAGGATGTCTAGTATTTTTCAATACTCTGCTTTCTGTAAGTGTGTGAGCCACTTCATCCTAAACAGTAAACAATGTTATTTCAATAATGAATTTCAACAGAAATTATTCAAAACCTAAAATTAAAACACTCTAAGGAAAAACTACAAAAAGAGGAAGGAGGTTACCCCAAATATCAAGATAATAAACCAGATTTTTGTTTTAAAAACTCAGTCCTCTCTCTATACTGCCACAGTGTTTGGATAATATGCAGTAACGTCTCTACAGCACTAGCAAACATTTTGAAACCAAATTGTGAAAAATAGCACTAGAACTGGGGGAAAAATATCTATTTTAATTCATGTTGTTGTTTATTCGTTCAGTCGCTTCCGACTCTTCGTTACCTCATAGACCAGCCCACAAGAGAACTCCCTGTTGGCCATCACCACCCCTAGCTCCTTCAGAGTCAAGCCAGTCACTTCAAGGATACCATCCATCCATCTTGCCCTTGGTTGGTCCCACTTCCTTTTCCCCCAGCATCATTATCTTCTCTAAGCTTTCCTGTCTTCTCATTATGTAGCCAAAGTACTTCATCGTTGCCTCTAAGATCCTTCCCTCCAATGAGCAGTCGGGCTTGATTTCTTGAAGTATGGACTGGTTGAACCTTCTCACAGTCGAAGGTATTCTCAGAATTTTCCTGCAACACCACAGTTCAAAAGCATCTATCTTCCTTTGCTCAGCCTTCCTTATGGTCCAGCTCTCACATCCGTAGGTTACTATGGGAAATACCATTGCTTTAACTATGCAAATCTTCGTTGCCAGTGTGATGTCTCTACTCTTCACTATTTTATCGAGATTGGTCATTGCTCTCCTCCCAAGAAGTAAACGTCTTCTGATTTCCTGGCTGAAGTGTGTCTGCAGTAATCTTTGCACCTAGAAATACAAAGTATGTCACTGCCTCCACGTTTTCTCCCTCTATTGGCCAGATATCAATCAGTCTGGCTGCCCAGAATCTTGGATTTGTTTTTTTAATGTTTAACTGCAACTCAGCTTTTGCGCTTTCTTTTTTCAGCTTGATTAGAAGGCTCCTCAGCTCCTCCTCGGTTTCGGCCATCAAAATGGTATCATCTGTATATCTAAGTTTGTTAATGTTTCTTCCAGCAATTTTAACTCCAGCCTTGGATTCCTCAAACCCCGTACATTGCATGATGTGTTCTGCATACAGGTTGAATAGGTTGGGTGAGAGTATAAAACCCTGCCGTACGCCTTTCCCAATCTTGAACCAGTCTGTTCTTCCAAGGCCAGTTCTTATTTTAATCCATACGTTAATTATTAAAAAGAAAATACTACCACAGGAATAAGCCAGTAAAAATATCTGGGCCATTTAAATAGGTTTTAATACTATTTTGGAAAGTTGAAATGCCAATTAAAAAACCCCACTAAAATAAATAGGACAATGTGGACTGATCTATTGTGCCTAATTACTTCTTAAGCATTCTTAATAGTGTCTATAGGAACAGACCAAAATTCTTTCTATGCAGAAGAAGTCTGTTTAAACTTGATATCTCCAGGTAAATGTCAGGAAGGATGTAAGGTGAAAATGTCTGCCTGAGACTGGAGAGCTGCTGCCATTTAGAATATGTAAGATTGGGTCAGATGAATAAATCTAACTTGGTATAAGGCTATTTCTTAGGCGGAATCACATCAGCCATTATATGACTGTAGGAGCAAGGCAAACATTATAGCACTAACCCTTTAAGGCTTTCTCTAAGAGTTCTTTTGTACAACTTTATATATTTAGGCAGAAAGTAATAGATTCCTTGGAAGGAACCATTCCCATATCTAGATGTATCAAATATCCTAACCTGCTAATTGCAGTGAGGAAACAGTACCTTGCATGCATTGGTATTTCTAGCATATATAGAGCGGAAGAATCTGAACACAACCTCTCTACCCCAACCCATGCAATTACATCTAAATTGAAGTCCTGCAGGGCTTTAAGGTATCTTCCCTTCTCCTATCAGAATCTTCCCTATGTGAGAAATAGCTGAAGAGAAACAGAAAGAGAGAGAAAGTATACTCGTCACCCACAACATGGTCTGCTCATTTGTGTTGCCCCCAAAGAGTTCTGGGGCAGTCCTCCTATCCCCCCAAACTTTGCTCTTATATTCACTAAATTAAGAGTAGTATAATCCTATTAGTGTTTCAATTGGCAAAAACATTCAGGGTTCATTTTATACTGGCCTGGGCCTTGTGTCTGGAGAAAAGTGAGATATAAATTAAATAAACAGATATGGGTGAAAACGTCAATTCCCAAATATATGTAGCAATATAATTATATACTACAGATGCATACCTTTGCAATAATAACTTCCTTTTTCAAAATCTTCATAGCATAGTATTTCCCACTCGCCTTCTCTCTGACCAGAATTACTTTGCCAAAGGTGCCTTTGCCAAGCAGTTTCAAGTAATCAAAATCATTCATTGTCTGTATGGAGTACAAGACCACAAATTAATAGGATTTACACATTGCAGATGTTGTATTCATTAAAATGCTTATGTCCTGCCATCAAATACTATCATTACCAATTTTTTAAAAACACACACACACATATCAAGGGTATAGATCACGCTGATAATATTACACAGAGATAAAGAACTGGTATAACGATACATCTTTAACTTATTCTTCTTTTACAAGAACATCATACATAGGCACAGATGTTTTTGCCAAGAGAACATGCCAGAATATATAAATTGTTGGTAATCTTAGATGCTATATGTGCCTATGCATTACACAGAAGAATAATTATTAACCTAGTTTGAATGTTTTTGCTGCTGCCAGTTTAAGAATTATTATCAACTACAGAGGAGCCAAGGGATGGTGAAATACGACAGCTCACTAAGCTTTCTTTAACACCATAATGCTCCCGGCTCTGGAGCTCCGCATGGAAAGATTTTCTGAATGTACATGGTCTGCTGACCATATAGCATGCCAGCAACAGACTGCCGTATAATGCCAACCATCAGCCTATTTATTTTGTTTGGGCACAGATTTGCAGATAATTTTCACAGTGTGTAAGATATGAAGTGGACATAAATAAATTTTCAGCTATCTGAACAAAAGGAAAATAAGTATAAGGAAAACACATGTAATATGAATAAATGATTTTGAACTAAAACAAAAGACAATGTTTTACTAGGATAAATCATACAAGAATTCAAAACCCAGGTTTGAAATCAAAAGAAAAAATGGGAGTGCTCACTGTGCACAGATACTAGAAAACAAGAAAAAGGATCATTGAACTAGTTTTGCCACAGTGATCAGGAATGAATAGAAGACTTACACAACTTCTAAAAGATTAAATATATGATGAAACATTTCTATTGAAGTGAGTGGGAATTCCTGATTTCTGCATAGTACTTGAAAAGGTTTCAAAAGCTTGCTCTGTGTATGAAAAAAAATCTTTGCTACAATCTGAAAAGAGCCTACAAAGAACCTTGAAATGAACTGGTTCCCCATTTACACACACACACATAGCTCCTCTGAAATCATCTTCCCATGGAATTGCCAATGTTATGTATTTCCACAGATCAACTGCCACACATCATACAAAGTGTTGGTTATGACATATGAATGCAACTTTGGCCCAGGCTATCTAAAGGACACTTTTTCTCCTTGTGTTTTTTTACCTATGTTGTCAACTGGATGGCCCCCCACGAGGGTCTTCCTCCAGGGGCAAACCAAGAATGGGCAACTTGGAAGTCCCTGAATAGACTCAGAAGAAGAGTGGGCAGATCAAAAGACAACCTGGCAAAATGGCACTACCTAAAAGAATCCCATACCTTGTGTGACTGTGGAGCAGAACAGACAACTCTGCTTCTGTATGCTTGTCCACTGTGCCCTGCCTCATGTACAGAGGAGGAACTGTTGGAGGCTACAGACAATGGCGTTGCTGTTGCCCATTTTTGGTCAAAAGATATTTAGCCGCCTGCACGTCTTCTATTTTTATCAGTTTTATACTAATTTATAAAATGCTTTTTATACGAAATAAATAAAAATCTATGTTTTAGATCTTCAGAGAAAGTTCTTAACTTGTTCCCATAAACATAGCAGACGGGTTTTAAGGGAATGCAAGAGGAAGTGTCCCTTTTCCAGCAATCTGTATACTAATGAAGAAAAATAAACTATTATAAAATATGCTATTGGTAGGTGACTGGCTGTTGGAGAAGAGACTTGGGGGATGTTTGATGCATTTTCCCCCTTTCCTCCCACTTTTAATTGCATTGTTAAAATGATTGCCTTATTCATTTTGTTCTTAATGGAACAAGTGATTGGACTGTGAACTATGTTTGGTCTCAGTACTAAAAGAAAGGCAGGAGTAGGGAGGAAGGAGAGTGAAAGAAGAGTTACATTTTTTAAAAATAAAAAACCAAGGTTCTACCTCATCAAACATAGCAACAATGCTGGAGCTACTATGTGTAGCTACAATGACAGAGCTTTGTTGTAATGACTGCAGCTATTAATTCAGTTTTTAGAAACTACCTGAGAAGCCACTTCAAAGGGGTTGTGAGGTGGTGGAGAGTAGGGCACTGACTGATGACACAGCCAGCCCCCTCCTGCCACTGAAGCACAGTACAAAAGGTGGTGAGATGGTCCCACTGTTTTCTATATTGCACTTCACTGATGGGAGGAGTGTTCCCTTTCCAGTGTCATAAAATTCATTTGATTGGTGCAGCTGCCTGACCTCTAATGAGAATTTTGAGGGCCTGCATCAGGTGGCATTGCTATGATGACAGACCTGTTGTACCGTCTTCTGATGCAAGATTGTTGCCATAATGTATATAGGTGTGATACCATCTTCCTATAGCTTTTTCCCATCTTTCAAGCTGCTGGACAGGGCCCACCCTGGATACTAGGGCTAGAATTCTGAAACAGCCAGAACGTTTACATATCCTTCCCTAGATAACATTTCCACATTTGTGCCTTGAGATTCCATAGCCACTGACTAACCTTTACCAAGATCCTACATTGTCCAACTATGCTCCCTTCTTACCACTCTCAGGACCCATGGTTGCCCTCCTGAGCAGCCATTCTGTGGTTTATGGAAAATAAGGGAAGGGGCAGGAAGGGGACTGACTGTGCCCCATGGTCAGACACAAACTGAAGACATCTCCATCTGTGACACTCTGAGCTCTCCACCAGGCAAGGAATGGCTATTCAGAGGGGCTACTACAGCAAAACCATGCATGTTGAGGAGTGTTGAATCATTAGGGATGGTAGAAGAAAATACTAATGTCCACAATTACAAAACGAATACATATATAAATAGGCTTGTGCTTGCGTATGTCACTAAAAAGATGTGTGCTCTTAGGTGGATGAATAGAGTCATAATACTGAACAGGAGCAAATACTCTAGATATCTTTTTCAGACTTTTCTAGAAAGGATAGCCAATAGGATAAGTGTTAACTGAGTGTTAATTTTCTTAATAATGGTTTGTACAAACCACAATTTTCAAAGCTATTTGTGCGTGTGGTCTGGATTGGGACTTGACAGGAGTTAAGTACCTTTGAAATCTTTTCTGACACTTCTTTAAAGCACAGGGGAACAGAATTATTCCAAATTATTACATTTCAATCTTCGTGTATAAGGCTGTTTTAAAATGTTAGGCTTGTCAAAGGCAATCTTTAATTACCTTTCTTTTATGGTGGGTTGTGGAAGCATCCATCTCCTCCTCTCCAATATTATCAATCTGTGAGGTTGGACTACAGTTCATTCTCTCTTCTTCCTGCCTCTGAAGTCTGTCTGCTACTGCTTGGATGGCTTCTGTCCATTCCTCCCTGTCAAAAGCAGGAGAGATCTCATAATACTTTTCATAAATGTACTGCTAAAAAGGGGGCATGGGGATATGACAGAATGTATACACACACACAAAATGTAAATTCCAATATTCTCGCTTTTCATGCTGTCATTTCTCTTTTTGTATGCAGTTTTCTTTTTTACAAATTTATTTCCCATCTCTATAGCCTGTGATCCAATTGGACCAAATATTCAAAAGCGAACAGAACAATACTTTCTATGAACTGAAGGTTTTTTTTTGTTTGTTTTTTTTGCAAATGTCTCCATAAATGTCTCTTTCAGTCTTACGGATTAGTTTTTTGTGATAATTTTGATTCATAGTGTTTTGTCTCTATGGTTTTAATGTTAAAAAAAACATTGGATTTAGGGCAATTCATGGCACAGGAATATTCATAAATAGAAATAATAAACAGCATTCACTTTTCAACCATTATTTCAGTAGAAAATTTCTCCATGCTTCCATTCCATTTAAGTGAATGGAATTGTTTATTTGAAGGATGTGGAAATATCAATTAGAAAAAAATAGCTATGACAACCATCTTTAGCAAAGGTTGAATTTCTCTTCCTCTTCTAGTCTTTTTGTTTGTGAGGGAAGGGCACTTCATGAAAAATAATGGCAAGAACACAGTGCTCACCTGAATGGAGAGGACCTTTAATAGGTAATTCTTTGTGTGTACATGCTCTCTTCCCATGCTTCTTTTCTCTCCACCTTTGTCATCTTCCTTATCTCTGTATATCCCCACTGTGTTCCTTTTTATTTGTTGTTGCTGTTGTTGTGTGCCTTAAAATCATTTTGATTTATGGAGCCCCAAAGATTATCCTAACACAGGGTTTTCTCGGTAAGATTTGTTCAGAAATTTGTCTTGATCTGAGGTTTTTATCCTCACCCTTTCCATTTTCACAACTCTCTCTGCCAACTAGTCAACTTTCTCTGTTTTCCTTACTCTGGTTTTTCATTTCTCTCTCTCTTTATCTCTCTGTACATATGAGAGACAAATAAATAGAAAGGGTGTGGGCCTGAAGAATGTTTGACTGTTACACCTCCGCCATTAGAGCCTATAGCCCTTTCTTAAGATGCCCAAATGTGTCTGTGGGCTCTAAAAGTTTAAGAGGTTCAACCTTGGGGACTCACTTACAAGCTTTTCTGACTGGAAATAGAACTTTATTATTCAATGCCCTGACACGCTTTACAAATCTAATGTATTCCAGTAGGATTTACTTCTAAACAATAAATATTAGAATCAAGGTGTAAGAGTTGTGAGAGTCTGGCCACCGCAGTTGAAAGCTAGCTTCAAACTGCATCAACTAGTCAGTATAATGGGGTCTTCTAAATACCACCCCATTTCTTAGCTTTTTATTTTCTGAGTGAAACACCCTGTAATTATCTGACTCAAAACACCACACACCTCTCCTTTAGCTCACTCACCCCAGATATTGCAATGCTTATACATCCCATTCCTTGTTATACTATGGCTAGCTTCCCAATTCACATTTCTCGGATTCTATGTTACTGTCATAAGCATTGTGCAGCTTTGGGCTTTCCTTTCTCCTCTGAACATGTCAACAGTTGAGCATCCTTCCTACCTAAGTATAGTTGAATCACGAGCCACAGTGCTATCCCTAGTTGCCCTCTGTTGTATCCCAGTAATTGAGGGCCATCCAACCCAGGAGCTTCATCTTCTTGCATTCTATCTGTTTTTTTAATATGTTTATCATAGGGCTTTTACAGTAAAGTGTCTTCAAAAGGAGGTATACAATGTCTCCCACACAGTACTACGTGTTAGCTATGCTGCTACCACTGTTCTCTGAGGGCTCTTCCACACAGCTCTATATCCCAGAATATCAAGGCAGAAACTCCCACTTTATCTGAGTGTGGACTCAGATAACCCAGTTCAAAGCAGATATTGTGGGATTTTCTGCCTTGATATTCTGGGATATAGGGCTGTGTGGAAGGGCCCTAAGAGATCCTCCAGTGCTGTTTGTCACACTTAATCTGGCTCTTTAGCAAAAGTCTCTCTGACATGGGAGACCCTACCAGTAGTACTGCATGCAATCACACCACCACGGAAAAGCAAATACTACTGGTGTGTGTGTGTGTGGGGGGGGGGGGGGCTTAAAATGCTGTGAAAACACAGAATACGGTGTTTTGAAATTAGGAATATTTATGTAATGAATAAGTCATACAACACATTAATATTAAAATAAATGCACACAGCCTGAATACAACAGCTCAGCCTTAACTAAAAGATGCTGAAATCTCTCTCTTAAACAACTCTGCCTACATGATAAATCTCACCGTTCTTCCGGTGTATCTACGTGAAATGTCCTTTCTATCACAGTGGTCCACTGAAGACATCGGATAATAAATGTGTTTGGTTTCGGCCGCTCTGTTTTCATCAGCTGACATTCTAGAAGAATAACAGGGTTTGTTTGTTTTTCAGTTTTTATTTTTGCTTAAGAACATCACCTAAAAACTTTGTTCAAATTCATTAATTTAAATATATGTCCAATGAAGTTACTAAAGACATGCAGCTAAAGACCCTTTCAAGTAATATAGAACTGGCTACTTAAAAAAGGAAGAATTTTGGAAAAATCACTTGTATTTTTCTATTCACAACTTATTCTCTGGATCAAAGAATTTTGTCCCTGGATAATCCTCAACTATACAACTGAGATAGATGTACACAGCAACAATGGCTCATAACCTGTTTAGCAATTGTGACATCATAAGCCAGCCCTACAATACATTAATTGCTGCAGATTCAGATTTACAGCCATAAAGTGCTGAACTTGACACCCAAAACCTACCATGACAGGTTAGCAAGATTTGTTTATTAATGACAGATCATGACCCCACAAATCTACCTTTGCAGGCTGATAATTCCCTGACCGAAGTGTTTCTGAGATACTGGAGATCACAGGACTGGGAAATGATGTCCACTGCATGCTTCTGGGTTGAAGGGTGGCTTGTGACAAGAAGTTGTGGCATGAGCATTAGTGATCTCTCCAATTGCCTGTTCTCAAGGCACCCAGCAACTTGGAACATGCTGCAGACAGCATTTCCAGGACTCCTCCAGAATATTTTGGCTAGGGCACTGCCAGTCTGCAAAGGTAGATTGTGGAGGCATCATCAGTGGTACACTGATGTATTTATGCTGACATGTAGGATCTTGACCTTTTAATAAGGAACATTAATAAATTTGAGCATTATAATAAATTAATGTGGTATTATTAATCTTAAAAATAGAATTTAGGATATTTATATCACATTATTTATTCTAGCCAAGATAAGGGATTATTTTCAAGAATACTTCTTCTCTTCCAAATATTCATTGTGAATACAGATATATAATATGTGTTTGCCACCTGTTTTACCTTTTTCTCTGTATAAAGATAGAATCATGCACAAATAATTTCACAGACACAAGTACACATATAAATATATACAACCACACATTTGTTCCTTCTATCTCATACACACACACAAGCACACACACACACACAAGCACAGTCTTGTGATAGTGACAGAATAGACTCGAACATATAAATCTTTTTTTTTTCCCCTTGGTAGAAACCGGTATCACTTACTCTTAGGTTTAGGACAAGTCACTGACTGCCAAACTGCTTTAAGTACATCATAACCAAGGCCTATTCTCTCGCTTCCTCACACAACTATAGAGGGACTAATCAGTCATTTTAGTTTAAAATCACTATTTTTGGTAATGGATATTAAAAGCGTCTCCCCACCAGTCATGTATCATCCTCGTGATTACCTTCACAACTCCAAGAGGCAAAACAACCACCATGTTTTCCCTCTGTATATATTGTTTCAACAAGGGCACTTTCAACCAAAATCCCTTTAACTGATATTTTAAGATCTATCTACTCAAAGGAAAATCTCCTTTGTTCCTCTTGAAGACATTGTCCAAATATCCCAACAACCAATCAATGCTGCACGGCATTCAAAGTTCATTCAACTAGTATGTACTCTGTGCCTGGTTGCTTTGTATCACCCTAATGATGCACTCTGAAAAAAACAGACTTGAGAGCAATAGAAGTACTGCTGGGAAAATTCAAAGCTAGTCTAGCAGCAATATTCCCATTTCCCTTTATTATTCATTTCATTTCTTGTGAGCCAAATATGTGGGTGAAAAGTGAGGGAGTGTGATGGGAATATCAGAGTAGAGAATTTGTGGTATGGAGGATGTAACAACTTGAGGAAAGAGTCCCAAGAAATATAAGTCTATTCTCAAAATTCTCGATTTTTTGCATAAACACTTTAGCTCATACTGGGAATTATAGCAAGAGGTCTAGGTTAAGCTGCACTAAATCAGAGCTAGTTTGCCTGCCTTGGAAGAAATGAGTAGAATGATATCCTAATCCTGATTATCCTACAGTGTAGGAAAAAACGGTTGGGGGTTTGCTGCTGTGAGAGTAAATGCAGCTAAAAAGAAGTTTTCTTTTGCAACTTCAAAAACATAGAGCAAGTATTTTAGACCAGCTGGCAACTGAGGCCCAATGGTATCTTGGTGCAGATTCATTGCAGAAGTGCACACAGGAGCCATCTACTGTCACTGCAAAGCTAGGGAAAAGGAATAATCCTATAGCACAGTGTAATGAACTCATACCTTTTCTTCGTAGGCCGCAGCCTAGAAGTCAGTGAGCTGGCCTCCATGTTGGGAAGGCAGCTCAGGATGGCGGACATGATGGTATAGGCAGAGAGGCAAGGGGAGGAGTCAACTAACTCGTGATTGGTTCAGGCCCCAAGGGGAGGAGTTGAAGGAGAGTGTAAATAGGCTGTCATTTCTGACAGAAGAGGGAGAGAAGGATTTGATCTAGCAGGGAAAAGGTTAGGATTTCAGACAGGGAGAAGAGAGTTTCTTAGTGAGCTAGGAATTAGCCTGTTAGGGAATAATTAAAGAGCAAGTGCTTCTGTATAGTTTGACTAAGGCAGTCAAAGTGAAGGCTTGTTTACTTGTATTAGGACAGAATACAAGTGGGTTTATTTCCCTAAGGGTCAGAGTAGTCCGGGGAAACCTAGATACTCCGGAAGGCAGCCAGGGGCGGCTGGTCAAAGAATCACTCTGTTACATATTACAGGATAGTGTGAGGAAAGTAGCTTATGTTAAGGAAAAGTTACTCCTTCTAAAGAAACTATTTGCTTAATAAGTCTGTGCTTCAGAAACAAATTACGCGTATGTACCTCTCAGTAGTCAGTTGTTTGCTTCAAATACTTCAATAAACCTGTTCTCTAGTTTACTGTTAATCTGCCTCAGCCTTGTTTCATCATATAAGGTTAGATCCAGAAAGCCTCCACATCACTACAGTTCAGTCACCAGAAAGGGAGCCAAAAGGAAGAGCTGGTGTATAGGGACATTTTACCTCAAGTACAACAACAAGACAATTCCTCAAACTGTAATTTGAGGTGGTGGCAGCAAACCTACCATTACACACACACCATTCTCTCTCATCACCTGTAATTTCCTCGTTCATCTTGTTACAGTGGTGGCAGCGGTGGGATTGAAAAGAAAGGTTCCCCCCGTCACACGTGTAATGAGACCCTTATCTCCCTTACACACAGATATGTTGGCAGACTTGCAATATACACTCTAATGGGATCATAGCTGTGGTATTAATGCAATGTTTGGGTTACTCTTAATCACTGCATGCTCCTCCTAGGCTATGTGAAGGGAGCAGTAGGATCTCCCATGTCAGATCTATTTTTGCTAAGAAGCCAGATTAAAAGTGCCAATCAGCTATTAGACATTAAAAACATGTAAATTGTAAAAAAAAAAATACACAAAGAGTGGCACACACATTTACACTCTCAATAAAATCTCAATGGATGCTTCTATTTAATAAAAATGGATAAAAACAGATTTGGAATCAGGTTTTTGGTATGTGCAATTGTCTTGATGTCCTGGCAATGATAAACTTATTTTAAAGTTCTAGAGTTTTCAAGTTTCTCTTGACCCTTAGACCTGATGTGTTTGTGTGGGACTGTGTCTCTTTTCTTATGAGCTGGTTATTGACTGTAATAAAGGGAACTTGAACTTGAACTTGGTATGCTCAGCTGGGTGAAAGAAATGGGTCTCCTCTTCCTCCTATCTAGGACAGTCCATCTATACTGTTTCCTCTAAAATAAGACATATCCATAAATAAGCCCTAGCATGATTTCTAAGCATTCGCGCAATATAAGCCATACCCTGAAAATAAGACATAGTGATTGTCGTGGCTATGTGGGGTACAAGGTCAGATCCCCATGTCAGGTCCCGGTTGTTCTGTGTGTGCTTCCAAACTGAGGCATAGAGACATAGAAAGTGAAAATAAAAGTCTCCTCAGTGAAGTGAGGAGCAAGATGTTCTGCTTTAGGTATTGTGTGTCCTCTGGGGGGAAAAGTAAAGCTGTGGCTGCAGTTTTACTCAGCACTATGGGCCTCTCTCCCCCAGCACCAACCAGCAATGGTCTGTGGGTCTCTTTTGCCCAACACAAACACCAGGAGATAGGGGGAAAGCTTCAGCAAGCAGTCTGCTCCTGCATAATTCTGGGGTTTGTAGTTTAGGGAGGAGTCTTTAACAGCCTCACTAAAGTACAAACCCCAGAATTTTGCAGGAGGTAGAAACCAGATTTTAAGTGGACTTTTTTTCTCAAGTGTGATGAGATCTAGGGTCTGTCAAATCTTTCTTTGGTTTGGGTATTAATATCATTAATGATTGCTTCCATGATTCCGGTATTTTTTCTCCAGTCATTATTGCATTAAATAATTCTAGTAGATTTGGAGTTATCATTGACACAATTGTTTTTATCATATTCTGGGCCCAGCCCATCTGGTCGGGGTGCATTCCCAGAATGGTTTCTACATCTTAGATTCAACGAATTGTTCAGCGGCATGGGACATTACATAACTCAAAAGTTAGCAACTGTTGGGTGTGGTGGAGGACAATTCTCCCCATCTGAATGATACACAGCCATGTTTCAGCACATTGAAGGTAATATCGTGTCACCTCCAGTCACAATTTTTAACCTATTTTTATTTTTTATTTTTTTGTGTTTTGGGCTGTGGAGGATTTATGGTAGAAGTGAATGGCTGAATATGCAGTCAATTTTGAGCATATTTAGTTGCTCTTCTGGTAACAGAAGCACAACAATATTTCTTTAAAGACTTGTGGCTCTAGGAAGCTGACAGGAGGCTTCAGGGGCTACTGATTGTGGCACAAAGAGATGCATTTGGGTATAAATGAATAAAAAAACATTTGTAGTTTTGCAACTGGCTACTATGTACAATCAATTCAATTTTTAAATCTCTCTTTGATCAGCTTTTTCCAATTTATTAATGACCACACTGTAGTCAAAGTATAAACCATGAAACTACTGAATTTTTAATGCTGTGGCATTGTATAGGTTGGAA